GGACTACAATGCAAAGTAGTGCATGGAGGACAGCTGACAGATGCATTCCAAGTAAGGACCGGAGTAGGACAAGTCTGTTTACTCTCTCCCTTCTACTTTCTGCTGGTGGTCGACTGGAAGATCAAGACCTTGACATCTGAGGTAAAACACGGCACATAATGGACAGCTCAGAATCAATTAGACGATTTGGACTTCGCAGATGACCTAATTCTCCTAATGCATACACACGAACAAATGCAGATAAAGACAGCCAGCATAGCAGCAGTCTCTGTATCAATAGGTCTCAACATACACAAGGGGAAAACCATGGTCCTCAAACACAACACGGAGAACAGCAATCCAATCACGCTTCAACGAGAAACTCTGCAAGATGTGGAATCCTTCACATAACTGGAAAGCATCGTCGATAAACAAATAGGTTCAGATGCAGACGTAAAGGCGAGCATTGAAAAAGCAAGGACAACATTCCTTCAATTAAAGAACATATGCAACTCAAAACAACTGTCTGTCAACCAATATCAAATTCAGAATCTTCAATACGAACGTCGAGGTAGTCAGTTCTACTGTACGGAGCTGAAACTTGGAGAACTACAACAACCACCATCAAGAAGGTACAAGTATTTATCAATAGCTGTCTACGCAAGATACTCAAAATCCATTGGCTGGATACCATCAGTAACAGCCTTTTGTGGGAGAGAACAAACCGACTTCCAGCTGAAGAGGGAATTAGGAAAAGACAATGGAAATGGATAGGACATACATTGAGGAAATCATCAAACTACATTACGAGACAAGTCCTAACTTGGAATCGTGAAGGGAAGAGGAAAAGAGGAGGTCTAAAGAACACATTACGTCGGGAAATAGAAGCGGATATGAAAGAGATGAATATGAACTGGAAAGAGCTGGAAATGATTGCCAAGGACAGGGTTAGATGGAGAATGCTGGTAAGCGGCCTATGTTCCTTCACGAGGAGTAACAGGTGTAGGTAAGTATGTATGTTGTACCAATATCAATGTGTTAAAATAAATAATCTATCTATCTATCTATCTATCTATCTATCTAACCATCTATCCACTCATCTATCTATCTATATTCCTTTAGAATATTGTAGCTTAATTCTAAATAAATGACATAGATTATGTCCCTAGTTGATCTGGTTGTGCTAAAGTCCAATGTTTGTTTGCTTTTTATTCCTTTATGAATCTAAGTTCAAGTATTTTACATAATCAATCTATAAAAATTATGAAATTTTAATGATTGTGTGTGTTTTTTTTCTAAGAAAAAAAACTTTATTTATCTCATTGAATATTCAAATTTATCAAAGGAGGAATAAAGTTATATGAATGAAATTAATAATTTTAATTAATAGCTGAAGAGTCTTTCAACTAGGGACGAAACGACTGTTCAGTGCTACCAGGTTTTCTATGGTGATCTTGTGGTGTGTGTGCTACTTATGTCGACATAAGTAGTATATAATGTTAGTCGGGAACAGAATATCTGGCAGCAGAGAGACAAGAAGATCGAATAGTAAAGAATGAAAACAGAATGTAATTTGTATGAAAATGCAAGAACAAAGGAAGTCTGAGTCATTCTGAGACAATTGATGAACATTTTGCCAATTGTGCATTTACTATATATGATTGTTCAAGTTTATTAACATGTTCTGTAATTTGTTGCGTCAACTACATTCGATTGTCCCCCACCCGTGTTCTTGTTCACTACAGTTCAACTTCAACTGACTCATGATCTTAGTTATCAATTTTGATGTAGTTTATGAAGATCCTAATAGTCTGGGTAATCACATCGTAAAGCAAGGATGTGAATCGGCTTTAAGTTAAGTTTCTTAACTGAAACTGTTATATCCCGATGGGAATAATGAATGGTAACAATTGGGACCCATTTTTGGATCAATATCATACATTTATATTTATTGGCATAATTGTTAAGTAGCTAAATTGTTCATATTCATGTTGCTCTTATTATAAGCTTCATTTTGACTTATGAGCTATTACCATTCTTGAATTATGCCCTGTCTATGAAAGGCTATCTCCCTGATACACAGCCTTATTTGGCTAAATCTTGTATAAATGTTGTTTCCTATTTTATGGTACGATGTAGTCTGTCTGGTTGGTATATAAACCCCGTATGTTTGGTATAAATGATTCATATCGCGGAGACTGAGAATGGTGTTCTGGACTCAACAGGCAGGGTTAGGCAGGATGAAGAACTGATAAGGAATCTAGACTGCTCATATGGGTTTATACGTCATTGGTCCGATCGATAAAACATTGTTCTCCAATTGGCATTATCAACACGTTATACATTAATAGGACACAAGGGTATAAGTAATAATAGAAACAAAGTAATGAGATAAAGTTAACAGGATGGAAATTGATAGTCATAGAATACATTTAATAACAATGATAGATTAAACAACATTGAAAATACAGTTGAACAGAGAGAGGAATAAAAAAAAAGATATGAGAATGATAGGATTATTGTATCTATACCATCTGGGTTATGTTATCTAATGTTTCTAAGGAATGATAGAGTTTATCAATCAAAATCTAATCAGATAGCTTGTATCTGTCAAAATGATTCTAGATGATAGTTTCATAGACTGGTACTAATGTCATGTATTGAGGTACACGATGATTGGATAAAGCTTCATTACCTTCTCAAGTATTCTATGTTTAACCTTAACATTACTTACTCGACTGAACTAATAATATGCAAATGATTTCGACTAAATATTTGCATACTAAGATTGTTTCCTGGTTTGAAAGATTATGTTGACAGGAGTAGTGTAACACATAACCTACTGTTAATTTAGTATACAAGGCGTTTGGTTGGTAGATGAACATTTCGCCTGATTGACAAGCGATGCAAAATAGTAAAAAAAAAATTCTGAATCCATACAAAGATTTCATCTGACACTACATCACTAGTATTAATGAGAATTCCAAGATAACTAAGGCAACCATCTACTTCATTTTCTATTATTAGTGTCAGCATAATCACATATCAAAAGTGAAGAAATTCTTCACATTCAGAGAGTATAAAACGTATGGTTAACATAGAATGAAATCTTACTAATCCATTATGCTGCTAGCTATCGGACATATTCTAGTAACTAGCTTGGCTATTTACAATATATTTTAAAGGATGTTTTATGGTGTAGGAGTAGGTTGGAAGAAAGGTAGGGGTGGCCAGAACAAAACATGTCACAAATCCATGAAGTCACTGACAAGTGGAATGATTCATATTGGTAAATGAAGGCTACCTGGTTGGGGACCGCGAGATGATAGCAACCGATGGTTAGAGACCTTGAATGACATGGCTCGAAATCGTTTGCAGTGGCGCAGATGCATTCACTCTTTGTGTTCTCCCAAATTCTAATCTTCTGAATTCTTCATGTCCCTTTCTTTTTACTCTATCCAAATTTATTTCAGTGGATTATACTCCTTGAATAACATCTTCAAACCCTAATCTTTGCGATTACTGCTTATACTTTTACTACCTTTACTACTAGGGGATTTGAAACGACAACTGCATCTCTGTGCCAATGTGGTATGGCAACTCGAACTGATGTACGCAAGTACGAAGTTCCACGTTGTTACTGACTGACTGACTGATGAGGATGTAGAATAGGTTATCTAATGATTAGAGACACTCGAATTTAAACCAATAGGATACGGACTCAAACCCTCTCCTACAATAATGCACTTGGTAATTAATTTACGGTTAATTAAAAATAAATGCAAAACAAATTTAAACTCTACCCCATTACATATGGAAGTGCTTATCAGGACTCACTAACTAAGTGGATACTGACGAATTGTAAACAAGATGAAACATCTCATCCTAGATTACATTCATAGTCATTTTTACTCGTATTTTTATTTAATAAGTTCAAAGACTACTCAAATGATCTTACATTACGCCTGTTACTCCCAATGGAGCACAGGCCGCCGACCAACTCACTCTGTCCTTGGCCTTCTTTTCTAGTTCCATTCAATTCTTGTTCATTTTTCTCATGTCTATCTTCATTTTCCGACGTAATGTGTTCTTTGGTGTTCCTCTTCACCACCTTCAGCCTTTAAGATTCCATGTGAGGACTTGCCTTGTGACGCACTTGGGTGCTTTCTTCAATGTGTGTCCTACCCAGTTCCAACGCTCCTACCTAATTTCCTCCTCAACTGGAATCTGGTTTGTTCTCTTCCACAATAGGTTGTTGCTGATAGTGTAGTGTCTGACCAACGGTTCCAAAATATTTTGTATTGACAACTGTTAATAAACACTTGTATCTTCTGGATGATGGCTTTCGTAGTTGTCCAAGTTTCCACCCTATACAGTAGAACTATCTTGACATTTGTATTGAAAATTCTGACCTTGCTATTGATCAACAGACAGTTGTTTTGAGGTGCAGATTTTCTTCAGTTGTAAGTATGCTGCTCTTGCTTTTCCGATCCACGCCTACACATCTTCATCAGATCCACCTTGTTCATCAACGATGGTGCCCAAATATGTAAATGTTTGTACATCTTTCAAATTTTCTCCGTCAATTGTGATTGGATTGGTGCATGTTGTGTTGTATCGGAGTATCTTGCTTTTCTCTTTGTGTATATTGAGACCTACTGCTGTTGAGACTGCTGCTACACTGATCATCTTCTCCTGCATTTGTTGTTGCGTGTGCGATAGAAGAGCCAGATCATCTGTAAAATCTAGATCATCCAACTGCATCCTAGTTGTCCACTGTATCCCATGCTTCCCTTCACATATTTGACGTCTTCATAATCCAATCGATCACCAGGAGAAAGAGAAAGGCTGAAAGTAAGTAACCTTGCCTAACACCGTTCTTTACTTCGAACGACTTTGTCAATTATCCTCTATGCAAGATTTTACAGTTTAATCCATCATAGAAATTCTATACTCAAATCATCTTATTAAACATTAAAAATATTAAAAAAGAAAACAAACTATACTATTCAATAGCATACCTCTTCTTAATTCTTGTCTTTCAATTAAACATTTCCATTCTAATTCAGCTATTCTATTCTTATTATTCATTGAACATTGATAAAAACGTTCTTCTAATTCATCATTATAATGTTTAATATCATCTTCTATTCCATGATAACTTTTCTTTGAATTAAGCGTATGTTCACTTTTACTTAAATGTTTATTTAACCCAATATGTCGATGATGATTATGATGATGATGATGATGATTATTGCTTCTTATTTCATATTTGTTTAAATAATTAGATGATGGTGTTATGGATAATGTATCCGGTGGTAATTGTGGTGAACTATTTGAATGATCAATGAATGAATGATTATCAGTAGTAGTAGTAGTAGTAGTATGATTATTAGTAGTATTATTAGTAGTATTATATTGTAATGTTTGTAAATTATTCAACGAGATTGATGATATTGGTAAATCATTGAGATTTGTTAATTGATCAATACTTTGTGATTTTCGATGATAGATTTTCTTTAAATTCTTCTTCTCTGAACGCTATAAATAATAATAATAATAATTGATTACTGAATTTAATAATTGCTTAAATGGTGAATATACTTATATCAATTAACTTACTTACTTTCGCCTGTTACTCCTCGTGAAGGAACATAGGCCGCTTACCAGCATTCTCCATCTAACCCTGTCCTTGGCAATCATTTCCAGCTCTTTCCAGTTCATATTCATCTCTTTCATATCCGCTTCTATTTCCCGATGTAATGTGTTCTTTAGACCTCCTCTTTTCCTCTTCCATTCACGATTCCAAGTTAGGACTTGTCTCGTAATGCAGTTTGATGATTTCGTCAATGTATGTCCTATCCATTTCCATTGTCTTTTCCTAATTTCCTCTTCAGCTGGAAGTCGGTTTGTTCTCTCCCACAAAAGGCTGTTGCTGATGCTATCCGGCCAATGGATGTTGAGTATCTTGCGTAGACAGCTATTGATAAATACTTGTACCTTCTTGATGGTGGTTGTTGTAGTTCTCCAAGTTTCAGCTCCGTACAGTAGAACTGACTGCCTCGACGTTCGTATTGAAGATTCTGAATTTGATATTGGTTGACAGACAGTTGTTTTGAGTTGCATATGTTCTTTAATTGAAGGAATGCTGTCCTTGCTTTGTCAATCCTCGACTTTACGTCTGCATCTGAACCTATTTGTTTATCGACTATGCTTTCCAGTTATGTGAAGGATTCCACATCTTCCAGAGTTTCACCATCACGAATGATTGGATTGCTGTTCTCCGTGTTGTGTTTGAGGACCATGGTTTTCCCTTTGTGTATTTTGAGGCCTACTGATGCAGAGACTGCTGCTATGCTGGCTGTCTTTATCTGCATTTGTTCGTGTGTATACGATAGTAGGGCTAGGTCATCTGCGAAGTCTAAATCGTCCAATTGGTTCCGAGCTGTATTTTTATATATTGAGGGCCGCCGAGTAGAAGACAGTGAATTATCGATCGGATCAAAGGATTCAAAATCTTGATAGGCTATTCTGTCCGTTGTCCCCGATTCATTTATCTCGATCAAGAAGTCTCGGTAAGACGTAGAATGTGTGTTCTACAGGCAACCAGCAGAGGCTGAGATTCGCGTTCTGGACTTAACTGGCTGGGCTAGGCGGGAAGCAGAGCCAATCAGGACTCTAGGCCGCTCTCACGTGTTTTACGCGTCCTTGATCCGATCGATAATTCACTGCCCTCAATGTATAACAATTGGCGACGGGGATGGGATTCGAACCCACGCGGGGAAAACCCAATGGATTAAGAGTATTATATAGATGGATATGTATAAGAGTTCAGTTATCAGTGATATAATATACCCTTGTAGGTCAGGGTAATTCTACATTGATTTTCAAGAGAACCAGACACCGACCAGACTTCCATGGGACAACCTAAACAGTACAGCTCAAGCCCGTTTAACAGGAGAACCAGACATTGTATATAGGCTTTAACGCTACAATCTGAATAGTACAGATCAAACCTGTGGCTCCACCAAACAGGTACCAAACACCCCGGTGAAGCGATAAGAGTTCATTATTAGTCTCCAATAAGAAAGGCATCATTCTGAAGATATAAGTGTTTATTAACAGTTTTCAATACAAAATATTTTGGAACCGTTGGTCAGACACTACACTATCAGCAACAACCTATTGTGGGAGAGAACAAACCAGATTCCAGTTGAGGAGGAAATTAGGTAGGAGCATTGGAACTGGGTAGGACACACATTGAGGAAAGCATCCAAGTGCGTCACAAGGCAAGTCCTCACATGGAATCCTCAAGGCCGAAGGTGGTGAAGAGGAACACCAAAGAACACATTACGTCGGAAAATGAAGATAGACATGAGAAAAATGAACAAGAATTGAATGGAACTAAAAAAGGAAGGGCTAGGACAGAGTGTGTTGGAGAATGCTGATCGGCGTCCCATTCTCAGTTGATGGGAAAAGGCATAAGTAAGTAAGTATTAGTCCCTGAAACAATAGTAAATACCGTTAAAATGAACCATGATCAAAACTTTGACAGTTTACTATAAGTGAGAGTTTTATGAAAAGATCTTGATGATTCGATTCTGTATTTGGATCATAAATACACAACGTTAGATTGTTCGAAATCGGGATAAAAGAGATGTTTCATCTCTTTTATTGATATCAATTCGTAACATTGATAACCAATAAAAATATGCAAACGTCTTAGCAAAATTTCTTTAATACTTAAAACATGTAACATATAAGTCTTTGTGAGCGAACATTTTGTCATCATAATTAAATGGGATATGGCAAGACTATAATTTATGGATAAACCAATCAGGTATAAGATGACAGATCTCGGATTTTGCTTCGAAATCCATTCCATTATTTGGGTAAATAGAGTTTTGGCATTACAGCTAATGACAGTTCGTGATGAAAACCCAAAATCTGATTCCTCACTTTAACTATCAACTTTAAATGATAATTCTAATTCCTCATATTAGTTTATAACCTTCATTTGGTTCTAGCTACTAGGTGGACACTTTCAAGGTCAGTTTAGCATCACTCAAAGATCATTCATGAATTCTAGTCTCACTTAGGATATCATTCTTTAGTTCTCCCATCTTCAAGAAAATGACTACAAACATTATTTTATGGATTGTATGAATTACAGAACAGAAACTAGAGAATCAATGCTACTGAATATGGAAGGATCTTAGTAATTTATAATATGTAAAACAATATGGAGACTAAAGATACCTAACTTTAATGGACTTCCCGCAGTGCTGACAGGATAAGGTTAGTGTAAGTTCAGCTTTGAAAAGAAACAAAACTCTATTGGACAAACTTCATAACAGAGTACTGACTAATTAAAGATTGTATGTTTGAATAATTGTAATTATTACAATTTTACCAGTGAATCGATAAAATCAATCTTGTTATGTTTAACAGACTATATTATAGAGTATCAGAAGAAGTTTTGTGGAGATTGTAGTAATTTCAAAAGTTGACCATCATGGATAACCTGGAAGTACTGGATGGCCGTTTCGTTCCAGCGAGATTCGAACCTATGACCTGCCAGTCTCGCGCGCGAGCGCCTATCCACTAGACCATTGAGCTGGTTGGCATCAAACGATAATGATTTCAACTATTGAAACTACTATAAAATCCACAAAACCCATTCTTATATTAATCAACATATGATCGCTAGTGACTACCTTCAAGATGTATATCCTGGAGTTCTAGTGAGAAGCAGTGACCAGTAGAGTTCAACCGGGTCTGTTGTGAGATAGTAACTCACTAGTGAAAATGGTGGTGTGTCGCTAAATTTCATGGATTGGTTGAAATTAGACATTAACACCGTTGGATGCCAGCCATCTCAGTGGTCTAGTGTTTAGGATCTCGAGCGCGAGAACCATAGGTCCTGGGTTCGAACCCCGCGAGTGTGATCGTGGATACGCACTGTTGGAGAGTCTCACTATATTGTAAAGGCTTATCTAAAACATGTAATTATGTCGAAAAGAGTAAGAACAAACAATTCTAGCAGAATAGCATGCATTCATTTTATTTCGTCTGGACCTCGTCAGTTGGGTTACAACCTGTGATATTTAAGAATCATAATTACATAATGCATTTAAATTACTTACATCAAAGGGTTTGGCTGAAAGTTATATTGAAGACAGAATAGCAAGAGTATAAATAAAATTAATAGACTAAATGTTGTAAATATATACTCTTATGTGAAAGAACATTCTACCACACTGATTGTGATAATAGTTCAAAGGGCCAGAAACAATTGATTACATAATAAGTAAACATGGATAGGAATATAGTGAATAGAGCTCAGTTGAAAGATTATTCATTTAAAAGATAATTGAAATAAAACTCAATAATGTAATATATTAAGGTACAGCGAAGGAATATTTATCACCAAGGCAAGGAAAGATTAATAACCATCTTTTTTTTTGAACACATAAGTCAGCTGTTTGACACCTGATGGCAATGGATTCAGCAAACATTTAAAAAAAAATTGGAGTTTAGCTGCTTATAAATCACCTTAAAGGATTGCAAGGTATCGATCTGATGTCTTGGTGATTGCATTGTTTAAAGTCTTTCTTCTTCTTGTTCTGAGACTTTTTTGGAACATATTCAAAAAATTTAAGCTATGCCCTCTTTTCTGTTCGGTCAATATAGTTGCTTTAGCAGGTATAAGTAAATTTATAAATACAATTGGCGGTAACATGAAAAAGGGTACTTGTCAACCTTTGATTGAGTTATTGAACATGTTGTTTTATACAGAATTAAACGTTTAGCAACCAGATATGTTCTGGCTAGAGTAGTATTCAGTTTCCTGTTGATTATGTATGCGACATCATCACCTTTGAAGCTAAGATCTATAGATACTGGCTTTTTATTGACCGTAGTTATTTCCGTCTTGTTTTCTTTGGGTTTTTTTTTATACTTGTCAATAAACTTTTGTGGATAAAAATTATCTCTTAGGCATTTCTCCACATTCATTAATTCTTCTTCCTGTTTATCGGTGGTACATATCCTTTCCACCCTTTAAAATAGTATTTTAACCAATACCTTCTTGTAACTGATTCAATAACAGCAATTATCCAGAAAAATTCTTTATCATACACTTTCATTTAACAATATAACATCATAATCAACTACCATCCTTGAAATGAATAAGTTTCTTATGATTTCAGAAACTAATTAGTCGATCAAATTGAATGAAGATTTCTAGTGATTGACCTCCATATTCCTCCATGAAGAGTAACAAATGTCAACAAGTAATTGTTGATAAAATGACAATAATCCTAAAACTTTCATATCTGATAGATGTATTCAACATAAAATAGAACTAGAAACTTATTCAAGAGATTATCTTCAACTGTATTTATCTATTTAACAATTTATTTGATATCATATACTTTGGATTGGAAAATGTCGATCGGAGGTCTATACTCCATTAGGAATAACAGGCGTAAGGAAGTAAATAAATAAATAATCTACTTCGGAAGAATTAAAAAAAGGGTTATATCTAAGAAAATTAGATACTGGATAATCCTAGACCGTTTAATAATGTTATAAGTAGTTATATTATTTATTTCAGTAATATATTAAGTTCAATTAAATTTATATTAACCAATAAGCATCAAATAAAGTAACTATTAAATTTTACAAATTATGAAGGTTCCATTAGTTTAACCAGAAACTAATTCATTTGAGATTGTCTTTATTGATCGAATATCCTTATTTAACTTTAATTATTCACGTTTCTATTGTACATGTTAACCACTACAAGTACTATTCATACATTTCTTATATCATTTAATTTTAACACAATAACAATCAGAGGATATTTAGCCTCCTGTCACATTAACTTTCATATTCATCACCTTAAATCATTATTATTGATACTACTGTGTTGTGTGCTACTTATATTGATATAATAAGTAGTATATGACGCAATTTATAAATGTAATGTTTGGTAGCACAAGATGAGGAAAGATCAAGAAAGGAAGCGTAGGAATACAATGGAATTTGTATGGAAATTTATGAACAATGAAATGTTAGATCATCGATTGATGTTTTCAACAGAAACAGTTCAGTTTGATACCATATTACTGTTATTTATGGTTATATCATTACTATTTCTACAATGGTAATGAATGATTTCCTTTGAAAAACTTTTGTTATATGAGAATAACAACAAAGAATGTAGCTATGAAGTGAAATGAATCCAGTTTACCTTACCTTACAAGTAGATTTACGGTTATTATCTTACAAATTATCATTTTCCTAGGCTGTATTATTTCTATATCTCAAACATAAGACATAAATAGTAAACTCTTATCACCCTTCAATCTACTTTTATGCTTATCCCTCTCTCTCTCTCTCTCTTGCTCTCTCTTGCTCTCTCTTGCTCTCTCTCTTGTTACCGTCTAAACTTGAAAATGTATCTTTCTTAATCTACATGAATTACTTATTATTGTTATTATAAGCAACATTTCAGTCGCTATAGTTTTAGCCACAAAAAAAAAGTTTCTTGGTGATCAATTTATTGTATAAGATTCATCACAAACTAATCTGATTGTAATGACATTCAAAATCAGGAGGGCAGAGCACTTGTTTCATCTTAGTGTGTAACTCCTTAGCGTCACTCACCTAAGATCCTAACAGAGGTTAAACCTATAATCTTCAAGTTTCATAGTAAATGCTGAATTATTCAAACCATTGAGTTGGTATTTAAAAGTAAGATTTAAAATTCAATCGAATTGTGACGCAATGGAACGACTATTCAATAATGTGATAGTTAAATGTTTCAATGTCGAATGTCTAAACTCGACTAGTTAAGATTTGGAGAGATGGTTTACTAGTCAAAGCGTTTGATTTTCAATCACTGAGTTATAGGTTCAAGCCTTTTTCCACCTACTATGATTTGGGTAACTAGTTAGTACCAATACCATTCACAAGTTAAATATGGTTTATACTCAAATATTTGATGAGTAATTAAATGATCAGTCATAATTTCTCACGAGGACTTCAAGTAATCTTGAAATAGATCAATAAAGAACCGACTATTATAGTTATAATTAAAGGGGTTTTGTAGAGATTGATTCAATTAAGAGATTGTATTCCTTACAGATTATATTCATTCAACTTGTCTCACTCAAAAACCGACATATCATTTCACATAATGTTCGCTTTATACACATGATTCATTCTAATATATTGATTGTAATTCGAGCCTTAGCAACAAGTTTTTTTTTTTTTTACCTCTTTTCTTACATAAAAATTGGAGTTTATTCATGAAACATTTTAGGTGTATCCTCAATTTTAACTATTTTAATGCAAAAATAATTGTGAAGTGTAATGATGAAATTGCCAGAAACAATTTTTCCAATAAAAAAATACGGGTGATAGCTCTCAACTTGGAACAATTTAGAAAATTATATACATTAGTTATATGCCTCCAAATGCCCTGGTATGGCTGAGAGTGGAGTGGATTCGTTCTCCCTCTCGAAATACTCTCACATGGCCATGCGTATATAACATATTCTAAAGAAGTCCTACTCACTGTTTCTCGCGGCGGGGGTGTTGTTTTCGAAATTAAAAGGACGAAAAGTGAATGTCCAGCGCTTTAAAAGGGTTGGTGGACATGGAGAGTCCATCTAGGGGAGTCGGAAAACCATGGTTTCAAACCATTAGTGCACATGGGCTGGCTCCAGTATCCTGAGGGAACAAATAGCGTATCAACCAATTATTGGTCACCGGCTGCCATGGGACTGCATCTCATTACGATGCTCCACTACCTTGTGGGTCAGACCTCTAGTCCAAAGGCTCCAGGTGTGGTCCCTCAAGAAAACCACCTGTTTTGTCTTGGGCACCTGGGCAGTATCATAGCCCTAACACAAATCAAATGATATTTGTGTAGCGCATATGTATTTGGTGCCTTTTTGTACCAATATTTATGTGTTCAAATAAAATAAAATAAAACATTATTTATATCAAATTGCTTTTTATTTAATTTGGCTATAGAAGATGTCTACTTAGTAAACTTTAAACGTGCTCATCTGAGGAGTCCCATATTAGGACGAAACGGTCTTCCAGTACTTCCAGGTTTTCAATGATGATCTAGCTTAGATTGACTCATGAATTCAGTTATTAAAATCATTACAATCTCCATAAGCTCTATTCTGATTATAATTTTAAATATTGTTTGAATTATCATGTATAATTGTTTGAATTCATTGTGTGTATTTTATTTTTATCAGTTTAGGGTTGTTAAGATTGTTGAGTTTTACTGAAATCATAAAGCACTAGATGACCGTTTCGTCGTAGTACAAGACTTTTCAGCAGTGAGTAGCCACTATTCCTTACATAGAAATCGAATTCAGGATCTTGGATCTCACCGGCAAATGACAGTTTTGTTTTTAGACCATTACGTTAGTATCTTTCAAAAATAAAACTGTCAAGATTAATCTTAGTACTTAAATGAACTGCTTTATATTAATTTGATTACTTGACATCAATGTTGAATGATAATTAATTGACTTTATTAGGCTTTTAAATTAAATGTCAATACTACTAATAATAATCTACTTTTATGGAAATTATCAGCGTTTACGCTTAACTTTAACTTTTAAACCAACCATAAATGGGGAGACTATAATAGATGGACAAACCAATCAAGTATAAGATAACAGATCTCGAAATTTTGGCACAAAATTTACTCGTTATAGATAGCTGATATCCATTTGTGATGAAAGCCTAAACTCTAATTTCTGACTTTATTCATCAACTGAAAATTATAATTCGAATTCGTCATACATTGGTTTATAAGCCTTATTTAATCTTAGTTATAAGGTGGGCACTCAAAGGTTATCCATAAATTATAATCTCACCCAATAGATTAGCAGTGTTTGGGTATATTTCGGTTTTTTTTTGGGGCGGGGACTTTTTGAAATCTTGACAGTCAATAAAATCCTATAAGCTAGAATAAATAGCCTTCGTATGTAAGTATATAGACTATAATTTACTTAGTAGGAATAACAACACCTTATAGAAAATAGAATGATAAATCTAAAAGAAGTAGGATTACGTTATTCAATGTTCGTCAATTAGAAAAATAGTATAGTTCTGTGAGAAATAGCATTTAACACTGTCTATAACAGAACACATTGTAACATTTATTAAAGCTTATTAATACAAGAGAAGTAATTTGGTGATTATAGAATTTTCATAGATTATATCATGGATTGATCCTAGGTAGATGATCAATAAAGATCAGAAATGAACTGAAAACCTATCTTGTACTAGTAGAGAACTTCTTAGTGGTGAATATCCGAAGACATACTATAATGAGTCGAACTCAGGTCTGTCATTCTAAAGTGTGAATACTTAACTTATAGGTCACTGAACTGGTGACTAATCGTAAGGTTGTCTAAATTCCATCGATTCGTGATACTGTTCAACAGTCTTCTGTTGACTATAGTGAATATAGATCTTAAACTTAACATGATTAATCACCTTCGTAACCCTAACCCTTAATTAATAGAGTTCTTATACAGCTTTATTTATATACTATAATATTGCTTACCTATAAAAAATAAGTTACTTAACTACATTCTGTAGACAATAATATCTTATTTATAAATTAATAAAGATATATGAATTCTCCAGTACCATGTCTTAGCATTTTAGTTATAAAGTCCAATGAGAAATACATTTAAATAAACAGAAGTGTTTGTGACCAGTTATTGCATATTTATATATACTTTTTGGTGTTTCATAAAGGTGACAATTCGGGATATAATAAAAATAAAAGAGAATAGTTTAGTGTTTAAACTCAATTTGAATAGATCGGAAAGCCATGAATAATCTTGATGATCATCATAACTTTCAGATAATTAATTCGTTAATGTTTTATATACAATAACATTAGGTTTTTACCATAAAATTTAACTTTTAAATCGGTCATAAAATACATGTTAGTTGCCATAGTTACAAGATATTCATAATCACATCTGTACATGAGTATATATCCAAAAATATTTACATGAAGTTTGAAACTAAGAATAGTGTGACATAAAATACAAGACTATCTTTCAGAGTAAATGGGATACTGTTAATAGTTTAAGTACAGTTGCTATGCAAAATCTATGAGTCTTTCTATAACTGGAACGTAAAGTATATTCAATCCAAGATATCTAAAACAATGATAAAACCCTAATATTTAATTCATTAATTCGAAGATGTTCAAAAGATAAATCCGAAGAAAATTGTATTGTATGTACTTAATATAACGCTTTAACAGTTATAAATGTATGGAGATAGAAAGTAAAATTTCATACATTATACTCCATATAGGGAAATCCCTGAACATCAATTTAAAAAAAATTTAAAAAAAAACAGAAATATAAAATTTGCAGGATGAATTCTCACTTGACTTACCAGTTCACATTCTAGATGCCTTCTGAATTTTCTTTTATTTTTCTCAGCCTTTGACTGAAGATCGCTCAATTGTTTTTTATGAGATTTAACCAATTCTCTGTAATTCCTATGAAAGTTTTCATTTAGATCCTGAATAGAATGTAACAAAAAATGTACAGAATTACTTTTTCTTCATTCTTATAATCTTGTAATATATTCTGCTTCTTTTCCTTACATGACTTTTGAAAATTTCGAATGTCTCGAGTTATTTCCTTTTCGTATAACATTATCCATTAGCAATGAGACTATTCATAATTGTGCGATGATCAACTGCCATTATGTAGACTTAGGCAAGAAAATATACAGTATAAAATGAATTAGTAGTAAATGAATTAAATTTTATTCACTGCCAGAGAATGCTTGTTTTTGTTTTAGTAAATCACGCTAATTTATTTCAAGGTCAGTTTGCATTTGAATTGGAATTCCTTGTAGTCCATTGTTGGCTGGCATGTATGTAGATTAGTTGCCACAGTTTCATATAATTGAAGCATTCAGATTTACAAGTATGTAGTGGATTTATTTTAGCTAACTGTGATATATTGTTTTCTGTGCTGGAACGTGCTCATTTTGTAACTTAATGAATTTCCTAGTGAAATAACGTCTCAAAAACTGTAAGACCGTCCTTGTTTACTTTTTAAGCCTTTTACGTTCTCATACTTCTGATGCAAAAGCACTTTTAAGGTTCTGGTAAAGTCATGCTGATTGAAGGGGAATTTCGTGTTTCTTGTCCATCGATTTACAGGACAATATATCTAAATATTTTGGGAATGATCTTATCCTTAGTGCAATCATTTGTCTGTGCATGTACTTTCACTCTTTAACGGTTCTTGGTTTTAGCCTTTAGTCCTTGTACTTCCGTTATGGTAACTGGTCAGTATCACTAGTCTCTCAAAATTTAGGTCTTAGTTTCACCAACTCTAATTAATATATCTGCGTCTCCAAGCACGCCTGAAACTAACATTCATAGGTTTCGTAGACCGATGTAGTGTCGCGAAGTGTGCGCTACAGGGCTTTAATCTATTATAAAAGCTTAGGTAATGGTTGTGAGCAGGCGTAGTTATTAAAACGAAAAGGGTTGGAAGACGCATCAGTGATAGGTTAGTGTAAACAACTATCCAGACTCATCAGTGAAACAAGTATTGGGAATCTGACCATTAGTAAGACTAATTTTGAATAAAGGGACCGTTATTCACTCAGCCCAGGAGATGACATATAAGTAGAGCGATTGTCCTCCGGCCACCCTCTGGCAAATTAACACAAATCTTCTATCTCTTAACAATATTAAAGTGGCTGTAGGTAATCTAACTCATTGGACAGAAGTAAGTGTTAATGGACTTACACCAAGGATCTCTAAGTACGGTAGTATAATTTTCGCAGTTAGATTGGTTGAGATTTTAGCTGAAAGCTAGACGTAATTTTATCTGACTTGCCTTGACCTCTGACAATCTAAGTCCGTAATAATCACCGAAAAATCACTTAGACTAATAGCGTGTAAAATACTGACCTCTATGATAACCTATCGCGTGGTTAGACCTTGTGAAGAGCAAACTCAGGGACACCAAGCTGATTTCAGAACTGAACGTAGATCTATAAACCAGATATCCACTCTTCGTCAAGTTTTAGGGCATTGCCATACAATTGTATGCCTTAATCTTAAGACAGCATTCAACTTGGTTGATCACAAGGTTATGTGACAAGATCTGTTATTAAAAGGGATACCGAAGTACATTAACCTTGTACAAGCTCTCTGCTTGAACACTAATAATCAATTCAAAACTTGTGGTGATCTGTTTTCAGAATTTTCAATCTCAGGTTGTGTTCGTCAGGACTGCCAACTTTCCCTATTTTTACTTAACTTCGTCATAAACGTTCTTTTAGAGATGCCGCTCTCATCGTCTAACTTTCAAAGGTTGATCTACCAAGAGATTTTCTACTAGACCTAAAATACGCAAATGACATAGTCATGCTTGGTGGAGACGCTGAAAAAATGCAGTCTTCTGATCACTTAAAACAACAATGCAAGCATGTTTGGGATGCATTTCTCCCTCTCAATGTAAAATGTTGCTTCAGAACTGCCCTGCACCGACGCCTAAATTAATAACAGTAGAGTGGTTAAGTGCTTATCTCAGTATTATCAACAGCCTTGATGAGCTGGTGTCGATTGTACCCAGTTGACCTTTACCAATCTGGGTCATTTGTGATGTACACCAGATATCCTTCCGCCAACAAACGGACGAGTTTACTGGGTAGCAATTCGCTCGTCATTTGTTGAGTATGAAGCATACCCGTTTGAAATAAAGGATATTCGTTAGTTACTAGTATTCAATCGTTGAATGAGCAATGCCGGAGTTAGGCATAGTGTATTTGGTAAATATGTTAAGTCAGTCGATAGAGTTGTAATTTTTTGTTGGTTGAAATGGTTGGGATATATATTACTTGTGTCCAACCATCACCTATCTCAGTGATCGATGTTGACTAGTAAACAGTAGGCTGGAACGGATCTTGTTCAGTTTTTTCCCTCTTTTACTAGACCATATCTTTTTTGCTACTACTAATACTATTTCCTCTTCTTTTTACTTGGAATTTGTCTTGACTGTTTTCCCGCACTGTGCTAATGAGATGTGACAATTTGAGGTGGCGCATATGTATCAGTCTCTGCGTTGCATATGATAGGCTGACTCAATCTTCGGCTCATTAGCTGAAAGTTAAGTGCTTCACTCATCACCGCTAGACTATCTGCTTATAAGTAGCACAATAACAATGGGGTCAATAGTAGTAATCATTTTTTTGTGAGGGATGTGATACTGCCAGGGTGCCCAAACGGAAGGTGGTTTCCTTATGGGGCAACTCCCTGAGCTTTTGACCTGAAGGTCTAATGCACAATGCAGTGGATCAACTTTAGGAGACTCACTCCAATGGTAGTCGTTGACCAACAATAGGTTCGTAAGTAATTTGTTCCTTCGGGATCATGGAGTTCATGTGCACCATTTGTTTCTAATCAGTGTTTTCTGACTCTCCTAGATGGATGCTATATATCCATTAACCTGGTGAAGGCAAAAGAAATTCGCTTTTCATCCTCTAAATTTCGTAAAGAACATACCTGCCGCGAGAAGACCGTCAGTAAGACTTTCCTGTCATCGGTTGTATATGCGTGGCCATGTGAGAGCTAACTTTGTTCACCCTTGGCTGTACCAGGGCACTTGGGGGCATCTATAGCTCTTTCTAGCTGATTTTACGAATTCGCGTTTCATAAATAGAATAAATCCTCTGTTGAGTTTGTTTTTTGTTGTTACTCATGTATTTCTTTTTATCATATTCAGATTAGTTAATGATGTTAGCGTTCCATCTTCTTTTGTTTTAGATATATGATGAATTCAGTTAAAGTCAGTTCCCAATCATATGCATTAAAATGGGAAGATTTCTCCTCTCTTGAAAACTCCTATTCTAATAAACACTGTTTACACTCATGTAATAGTTCATCACCTAGTCTACGACAAACTCAATTAAATTTCTCACCAAATCACCAAACGAAACTGTCTAAACAATTTGAAAATGTTACAGATGGTATCGAATTTGATAACAGTAATTGGAGTACTAATCAAAACGCTTCGTTGAAATCAAATGAACATAATTCATGTCCTCAAACTTTCATTAAACTTGAACCACCGTCAATTTCAACTACTGAGTCTTTGAACAAATCTCCAAAATCCATCATTACTAGCCCTACGCGAATAATGAAACAGGCTATCATAACTGAAACAGGGATTTCACCGGCGGAAAGTGTATTCAAAAAACCGATCAGAAAGAAGAAAGCTGGCACTAACAAAAAGTCAGTGTTTTTTACATCTCATATTTTTAAGTATATGATTACTACTAAATTATGTCATCTGTAAAGTAGATAATGTTCAGATCGAGTGCATAGCATAACAGTCTCCACTGTTCTACTAATAGAGAACATTAAGAAAATTGCAAATACTTGATTATAACCATGAATTAGACTAATGTTCAGCATTCAGTTTTAGATGGAAGTTGTAAGTTGGTTTATGTGACCACAAACTTTCGTCATTCAAAGCGATTGGAAAGCGTTTTATTCACCCCTACCTCACCACCTTCTTTGATGTACAATCTTTAGTTGGGGAAGAGTTTACGTTGATATAAAAGGCATCATATGTAAGTTGTGAGTTGAAACAATCGTCATTAATTTGAGAGATATGTCTTTAGCTTAATTCTACGTTTCCATTTATTAGTAGCCAATAGAAATATTATTCACCATGTCCGAAATCAACTCCACCTATTTCAGTTTGGGTAACAGGGTAGTGTCACTACCTCTTCATATAAACGATATGACTCAAATCTAAGCGCATATGCATGTCACGTGTGAAACAATTACTCACCAATGGTATTTGAAAGTAGTTATTCAATACTGCGAGTTTATTGATGTTACACGTGTAAACCATCGGTTGCCTGTTTAGTGCTCCAAAGGTTGGATACTGGCCTCGAGGAATGAAGGCTCTGTGTTCGACTCCCGGTAGGGTCACGTATGGACGTTTCCCAGGAATCTCATATCAAAACCAAACAGCTGTCCAATCTTTACTGTTTTTCAACGGTTGTCTACTGGAATCGGCCTGTGATGTAAACCGTTAAACATAAACATGTGCTTAATAAACAGGTTATCAGTAAAAGGATGTCTGGTTACTCAGTTAAGTAATCCCCGCACCATTAAAGTTATCTCATCCTACCAACGATCATCATTATTACTTTTTTTGTACTGGGATTTCTAAAATGTCACATATATCGCATTTTATTTATCAAAGTTTCTTGGTTTAACTATCATGGCTTTGGGAGGTTATACTGACTTTGGCTGACTAATATCAGTCCCTCGTTTTTACAAAACTTTTGAAATCTTTTGCTAAAATTTATACTTTTCATCATCTCCACGTAGTGAAGAACTGTATGTTACATGTAATGTAAGTGTAGGGCATTTCCATGTTACCACACTTCACGTCAGTGAAACGGAAGAAAATTAATGAGACGAGAAGTAGTATAAAACATTGGGAACATGAATATAAAAATTGTAGTTCAAAACGGAATCAATACTATTGATGGATAGAAAGTCGGAAATGATGGAGAATGAATACAACTGACATTGTGATCGATACCCCATCATATCGTCTACTGTCTTCACTTATGAATTACACGTATTCTATAGGCTTCAACCAGGAAATTATAACTACCCAGATAGTGATAATCTAGATCCATTGACCTAATCAGACAATATAAAAGCTATACTCTAATCACTGTTGTTTGTCTATCTGAGTTCATAAAATATTTCTTTTAGTGATGATCTGTGATTATTTTATTATAAAAGTGCGTGAGTACATCTATACAATTAACAAACATAATTAATTATTCTAAACAGATCGAAGACAAAAATATTCCAATGGTTGAGATCACGAGTCAATCGAAGCTAGACCACCATGGAAAACTTGAGGGTCGTTTCGTCCTATTGTGGGACTCCTGAGCAATGCGCATCCGTGATCCCTCCTTGCGAGATTCAAACCCTGGACCCATCCGTCTCTCGCGTGAACGCTTACTATGATATCCAAAAAACCCCTTCTGATGCAAAGATATTTCTTTGAATATTGATACAATTAAACAAAAAGATAGTTTATAACTTTCAGTAGTATGTTAACTTAAGTAGCTTAAATGTAATACACACCTTTTTTTAAATCTAGTCTACCCATATTCCAAGAAAGTATTTGAAAAATGTGACGAAACATATTTTTACTACTTAGTATCTATTCAGTAGTCTTAATCAGTTAGTATCATTTTGTAATTGATCCTCGTTTTCATATAATTTGTTGTCCTTAATATTAGATCACAAGTGAAACGTTCTCGTAGCGTAGATTCACCTCAGATCAGTACTATCACTAATAATGATATAAATCAAAATGATTCTGTCAATTTATCAACTTCTAATTCTTGTCAGACAAGAACAAGAACAACAACACGCGTTTGTAAATCAACAACAGTCAGTCCAAAAAAGAATATACACGTAGCAAGTGATCTATATGCTGCTACACAGAATAAACAAAACAAATGTAAAACACAATTACAAACACAACTTACATCTTATGGAATTCGAAAAACTGCTCGACAATATGCTAAAGAAATTGAGGTAATATATTTCATTATTAAAACTTCCTTTTCTTCTTAAGCATGATATTCAATGATGATTGCTTCATTTTTAGGCTGAGTGAATTTGCGTAGACATAATAATTAACTGTTTAAAGAGTGCTAACAGATAGAGACCGGTTACAGCTTGTAACTTTGATGATTGAGTGGAACCATTATAGGGACTCCAACTAGGAAATTCTTATACCATCAATAGTCACTGACTTGATTTGCTTGCCCTTAGCCTTTTTCCAAACTACCTCTGTGCTGGTTACTATTGTTCATCAGGTTAAAGAGTAATACATATCCCAGTCGACTTAGTCAATGAAGATTTAATTGATTTACCATTCTTTACACACTATCCTACACCTCAACATCAGGGCTATTAACTTGGCAGTTCCACCATGTATGAGCAGCCATTTGAATCTACCTATAATTAAGTCATCGCAATCTTATTGTTTCTTCTGCCTTTATAGGACATAGTTCAAAGCTCGAAAGCAATACGGAGAGATTTACTTGCACATCGGTAGATCCCGACCGTTGTTGCTACCTTGATGTGGTGGTCGGGCTTACCTATCGTGATGAAGCAACTGAGTTATACTGCCTGGAACAACCGTTCCTCAAGGTCCTATCATGCCAGACAGGTCGGTTGAAGAACGGTAAGACTAAAAGCAACAAATCCAAGGTCCGATGGCGAAGTCGTACTGATGACTGTACAGAGGTGTGACGGCAGTAAGTTGTTTCCTTCAGACAACCAGCATGACAGCGATGCTGCCTTCCAACAAGGAGGGGCGGGGTTAGAAAAGGTCGACCCTAAAAATGCACACCTCATCTTATCCCACGGATATCCATCTCCGGCAGTAAGGTCTTAACAAGTGCGAGCTAACACAAAAATTAATCACAAAAAGTTGTGTGCAACTGATCTCAAACAGCTGTCCCTTGGTGACTGAGGTCACGCCCTCAGGTCACTAAGACCACATCTAATCCAATTTACTTTTCAGGCACCTCCAGGAGAACCCTTCCACAGTGTGTGCAACCGTGAAGTGATAACCGCCCTCATACCTCTAACAGCACCCAAGACTGACTGGGGTTCCATAGTTGTTGATAAATCACAATTACTGCTGAGTATACCGGTTCGTCCACAAATTATAGTCTCGTCATGCGTTTCCTGAGCTTGATAATTCCATTTGTGAAGCTTTTATTGTCATTCTGAATCACATCGTTGATGTTATAATCCAAATAAAAGTTCATATCCAACTCATAGAATGAAATATCTAAGTAGAGTTTCCACTTATTGTTTAAGAAAAACTGAAATATTAATTTTATAAACTTCCAATCTTCTTCATTCATATTTCTTTTTCATTTTTAGCGTGAACGTGAAAACAATTTTTTAAATGCTTTAAAAAACAATATTGAAAGTGGTATGAAAGTAAGTGTAATAGATTATGTTGTTGTTTAGCTCTCTTTCTCTCTATATCTCTCTCTTTATGTACCAGTCAGTCAGCCATAATGAACTCAGAGTTTGGGACAAATATATGTTAGTCCAATAGTCTCATACCATTTTATCACAATCAGATTGAATAAACTTGCCAAATCCAAATGATTGTAATCGCAATTATAATGAGAATGACTTAAGACATAGAATATATCAGTTTAGGGGTTGTGGAGATCGTCACGTTTTTGATCGGGATCGTGAACTAATTAGTGTTAGACTACCATTGAGAACCTGGAAGAAATGGACGACCATTTCATCCTATTGTGGGACTCCTCAGCAGTGCGCATCCACGATCCCGCTCACGGGATTCGAACCCAGGGCTCTCAGTCTCGCGCGCGAACGCTTAACCTACTGGACCACTGAGCCGGCATCCAACGACGTCAATGTCTAAGCTCAACCAATCCACAAAGTTGCGCGACCATCTTCCATTGTACTCAGATAGACACCTGTTTCTACCCGACACGGATTAGCTCTACTGGTCACGACTTCTCACCAGAACTCTGAGAATTTTCTCACGAAGCTAGTCACTAGTGAGAACATTGTTAGGACAAGCGTTCGCGCGCGAGACTGAAGGCCCTGAGTTTGAATCCAGCGAGCGGGATCGTGAATGCACACTGCCACACAGGAGTCCCACAATAGGGTTTAAATACATCGTTATTGTTGTATTTTATTTAGGATTTAGTTTCATGCTTTTGGTGTACATCTCATTTATTCTGTTGTATTCCTATTGATTTTTCATATTGATTAAAAGCGTAACTGTTGAAATGCAGTGATTGTATTATCAGTTCTATTTTGTATGAATTTTACCATACCCACAGCTCAATTAGTCATTACCAACATCAAAACCAAGCATAAATGTATATCAATCCGAGTTGCCTCGTTTCATCAGTATATCAAGTTTAAGAATCATAGTTGATAGTGTTAGTGATAGTAAAAATTGATTATAGTTCAAAAACAGGGGAAATCGAGGAATGGAATGTATTAAATAGTATAAAAATCCGAATTTTGAAGGAAGATGACAAGTGAATACATATACGTCACTGCAGTCGATCGTTAACGTGTAATGTAAAATTCCCAATTACTGATTGTGGTTACTATTCAAAATCCAACCAGGTAATCCGTAGCTGATGACAGAGCTGAGATAAATAATCACAGGCTTTATAAATTGATCACCGGTCTTGGTCGAACAGTAGTGAGAGATGTGGTTCATTATGTGTATGAAATAATAGGCCCCCAAATGCCCTGGTACGGCCGAGAGTGGGGAGAGTCCGCTCTACCTGTCCAAATGCTCTTACATGGCCACGCGTATACAGCCTCTGCCAGGGAAGTCCTATTCATTGCCTTCTCGTGGCGGGGGTGTTGTTTACGAAAATGAGAGGACGAATAGCGAATGTCCGGCGCTTTAACCGGACCCCAAACCAATGGTGCACATGGGCTGGCTCCAGTATCCTGAAGGAACAAATGGCGTATGAACCTGTTGTTGGTCACCGGCTACCATGGGACTGCATCTCCTTACGATGCTCCTCTGCCTTGTGGATCAGACGTTCAGGTCGAAGGCTTAGTGGTGTGGTCCCCTAAGAAAACCACGTGGTTCGGTTTGGGCACCCGAGCAGTATCACAGCCTTCACACATATCCAATGAGATTTATGTGGCGCATATGTATTTGGTGCCTCCTTGTACCAAAATCTATGTGTTAAATTAAATAAATAAATAAATAAGCGTTAATCGACATTTATAGTCACATAAAAATAAGTTACAGACATGTGATGAATAGGATAAGAAGTTTACTCATAGATATGCTCATGTAAAAACAGTCAAGATTGATAAGAGAATAATTAACAAGGTTGACATATGGCTCAATAAGAATGAATAAATTGGCCTAACCAAAAGCTAGAATAAATTACATAGCGTTAACATAATAATAACCGACATTACACTACTTGTAAGTAGTTCAGATAGAATTTCTCACTGATTTTGTTCATTATAAATGGAAGTTGTTTGATTATTATTTAACATATTATCTATTCTGAAATGTTCATTAGATTATACAAACTGAAGAAAAAGGTCGTGGAATTATTGCTACACGAACATTTTATGAAGGTGAATTTGTTGTAGAATATGCTGGAGATTTAATCTCAGAAAAATTAGCTAAACAACGTGAAGCTGTATATAAACAAAATCCATCAATTGGTTCTTATATGTTCTTTTTTGTACATGGGTAAGTTATTATTGTGTTCTATTGTACAATAGATTTATTATATTTAAACATTGAATTTGAAATTGATTGACATGGTTGTGAGAATTTGTGTGAATCCGGTGTTCATCTTGTTGTGCTAATGCGGTATGGCAACTTGGACCGATGCATATGTGCCTGGTCCTACGTTGCAGCTGAATGACTGACTAAAGAATTTGTAACTTAAGTAGAGTTTATTTTCGGTGAGCTAGATGCTTTGGTCGTGGAGTTTTCATTGTTCTTCTGAACAACATCATCAGCATTAACTTCAGATAGAAGTGGAATGTTCAAATTTTCTTTCCTTTTGTGCTTAGTCTTGGTTGTTTATTGTTGACCTTTAACATGTCGTTGTCGTCCTCTTTATTTTTATTTTATCTCCCTTCGATTTGATTCTTGGCCCTACGTTTATTTATGTTTTTTTCCAACTGGTCGATAGATAGCCAATTGAAATCAAGATTGGCAGGACAAGCTGTAAGTCAAATGTGGAGAGATTCGAACCCTTCTCTTATATATATATATATATATATATATATATATATATATATATATATATATATATATATAACATCTCTAGTTGTATCGAAAATTTCGGGGTTTCTTGTCGTCGTCTTCAAAATAGCTGCCCAATCTATAATTAAAAATCTTGAGTAATATGACTTGAAATCAGTTGTATCAGTCAGTCAGCTGCAACGTGGGACCAGGCACATATATGCATCGGTCCAAGTTGCCATACCGCATTAGCACAGCGAGATGAACACCGGATTCATAGGAGTAGTTAATTCAGTGGTGGTAATATATAGAAGAAAGAGTGTGTATAAGGAGATAGTACAGGAAAAAAGAATTAGTTCATAGAAAGAAAGATATGAAGCGATTTTAATCTCTTAATTTAAGGAAGACAGAGAGTGTATACACCGACGCCATTGTGATCGATTCTGAGCCATGTCACCAAGAGTCTCCAACCATTGGTTACGATAGTCAGGTGGACCCCAACCAGGCAGTCTGAATCTCCCAACATGGCTCAGACCAGAAGTTAGTGACTTCAAGCACTGATGCCACGTTTTGGTTTGGCCGCCCCTAACTTTCTTCCAATTATCCCCTGCACTAGTCAGCATTGCGCGTCGTGGTAATCGGTGTTCAGGCATACGCAACACGTGGCCCAACCATCTCAGTCGATGAAGATTCATAACCTCATCAACTGATTTACCATCATTCCCTAATACCCTGCGTCTAACGTCACTATTACTTACCCGGTGATCCCAGCAGATGCCAGCAATATTTCTAAGGCACCTGTGGTCAAATACTAGTAACTTACGAATATCTTCCACTCTTAAAGGCCAAGTTTCGCAGCCGTATAGAAGGACGGAACGAACTGCCGCGCAGTATACTCGTCCCTTAATTGATAGACGGATATCTCGCCTTCGCCATAGATGACGTAAGTTGGCAAAGGCCAAACGAGCTTTTCGAATCCGTGCTGAGATTTCGTCAGACACCAACCCATTAGGGCTGATCAGACTTCCAAGATAAGTGAAGTTGTCAACGCGTTCGACTACTTCACCCCCTATCCTTAGTTCAGGTGTTGATGCAGACCAGTCCTGAAGCAACAACTTGCATTTAGAGGGAGAAAAGCGCATCCCAAACATTCTAGCATTGTTGCTCAGTGCTACCAAAAGACTCTGCATTTCATCAGCGTCTTCACCAAACAGGACTATGTAATCTGCGTATTCTAAGTCAATAAGTGGACCTCCTGGTAGGAGATCAATACCCGAGAAGTCAGTCGATGAGAGCGTTATTTCCATCAGGATGTCTATGATAAAGTTAAACAAAAAAGGAGAAAGTGGACAGCCTTGACGGACGCTACTTGAGGTTGCAAATGCAGATGACAGTTCGCCATAGGCTCTGACTCGATTAGTAGTGTTCGAGTAAAGAGCCTTCACAAGGTTTATGTACTTCTGAGGTACGCCTTTCAATGACAGACACTGCCACAGAACCTCTCGGTCAACAGAGTCAAACGCTGCTTTTAAGTCAAGGAATACCACCATTGTCGGACGCCGATAAGTATGCCTGTGTTCTAGAACCTGACGAATGGTGAATATGTGGTCGATGCAGCCACGACCAGGTCTGAAGCCAGCCTGATTTTCACGTGTTTGCAGTTCACGAGTCTTAGTTAGGCGTCCGAAAATTATCGAAGCTAGTATTTTAGATACTATATTAGTCAAACTAATCCCTCTGTGGTTGTCACAGGATGATTTTGACCCTTTCTTAAATATTGGGACGATAAGTGATTGTGACCAGTTAGATGGAATAACGTCTGACTCCCAGATTTTAGCTAAAATATTAGTCAACCTAATCGCTAAAACTAGACCACCATCCTTAAAGACCTCTGGGGCCAATCCATCTGGACCAGCTGCCCTTCCTCGTTTCAGATTAGCTATAGCCTTTTGAACTTCAGCTAGAGTTGGGGGACCTACTTCAATGTTCCATTCATAATGTCTGGGAATAGAGTGTAGTTGTAGAGTAGCTGAAGGCCAGCTAAACTGCTCCTTAAAGTGTTCCGCCCATCGTTCTAAGCGTCTGGACTGGGAGCAGATGAGAGTGTCGTCTTTTTCCGAAATAGTCTGACTTACACTTGATTTATTAATTCCAGTTTCTTTTATTAGTCTGTAGAGTTGTCTTGTGTTCCCTATAGCCGCCGCCTTTTCCATCTCTTTTGCTTTCGTTGCCCACCACTGCTCACGATCATTCCTTAGACTTTTGCTTAATCTAGATTTGATTTCTTTACGCTCTTCATCGTATTCAAAACCTGATGGGATGAGTTTGCGAGAATCTATCAGTGCAATAGACCTTGACGAAATCCATTGGTTTTTTGTAACCATTTGGTTTAAATCACTGGTAGATGTCACTGCTGTTTCCACAGCTGCTTGTATAACTTTCCAAGCAACATCTGGGTCAGTCTCGTTTTCAGAACTACCTAAGTGTGACCTCAGTTGTTCCTGGAACCTACTTTTGGCTTTCTCATTACTCAATTCGGTTCTAATGAGTCTTTTTTGTGTGGCTCTTTTGCGTCCAGTGAGGCGCAAGCAGATGCGTGCTCGTACTAGGGTATGATCAGAGTCCAAGCAGGTACCTCAGAATGAGCGACAATCTTCTATTGACCCTCTCCAACGATGACTGATGGCAATACGGTCTATTTGAGTCCATCGTTGGTTTGGTGCAGGGGGTCGCCATGTTAGACGATGTCTCTCCTTATGCTTAAAATTTGTGTTTGCTAAAAATAAACGATTGTCTGAGCACAGTTGCAGCAGACGATCACCATTATCTGTTCGCTGTGCCGGAATACTAAAATACCCACCTAAATGTCTTTCTGTTTTGTTTAAGCTACCTACCTGGGCATTAAACTCACTTCCTACGAGTACTATGTCTGAACGTTTAGCTTTCTGAAGAAGTTCAGACAGCTTTCTGTAAAATTCATCTTTCACTTCATCCGAACTGCAGTCAGTGGGAGCGTAGGCAGAAACGACGAAAAGGCAACGACGTGTGTCCCTATCCTTCCGAGTTCTTACGGAGCCGTTTAGCCGAACAGCGCATAGACGACTATTAACGGGGATCCACTCTAATAGCGCTTGTTCCGCCCTCATGCTAAGTGCTATACCTACACCTGCCAGTCCACGAGAACTAGCCATCGGGTCGCCAGATACACGGAGGGTGTATCTCGTTGGCTCTCCGTTTTGCCGAGGTGAGGTCAAGTGAATGACCACACTAGGATCCTGTATGCGTGTTTCGGAGACACAGCATACATCAATCGTACGAGATTCTAAGGTTTTAGCCAAGGAAGCCTGCTGACCGATTTGGCATAGTGTGCGTACGTTGAAGGCTCCAATGTGTAGTTTGGAGCGAGGTTTCAGTAGACCTGGGACAGTGTTTTGCGCACAAGAATCGTTGGCTGTGGTGACACTTGAGGAGGAAGCTAAAAGAGGAAGTTTAGTGTATAAAGTCGATGTAGGAGGAATAATAGGAATTGAAGAGGGAGGTTGACTATGAATACAGTGGTCTTGAGTGCTGTTAGAGGTATGAGGGCGGTTATCACTTCCCGGTTGCCCACACCGTGGAAGGGTTCTTCTGGAGGTACCTGAAAAGGAAATTGGATTAGAGTTGGTCATAGTGACCTGAGAGCGTGACCGCAGTGCCCAAGGGACAGCTGCTTGAGGTCGGTCACACACGACCTTTTTATGAGTGATTTTTGTGTTAGCTCCGTACTTGTTGAGTCCTTACCGCCGGAGACGGATATCCGTGGGATAAGGCGAGGTGTGCATTTTTAGGGTCGACCTTTTCTAACCCCACCTCTCCTTGTGGGAAGGCAGCATCGCTGTCATGCTGGTTGTCTGAAGGAAACACCTTACTGCTGTCACACCTCTGTACAGTCGGCAGTACGACTTCGCCTTCGGACCTTGGTTTTGTTGCTTTTAGTCTTACCGCTCTTCAACCGACCTGTCTGGCATGGTAGGACCTTGAGGAACGGTTGTTCCAGGCAGTATAACTCAGTTGCTTCATCACGATAGGTAAGCCCGACCACCACGTCAAGGTAGCAACAACGGTCAGGATTCAGTGGTGGTAACATATAAAAGAATTAGTTCGTAGAAAGAAAGATATGAAGCGAGTTTAATCTCACGATTTAAGGGAAGACAGAGAGTGTATACACCGACGCCATTGTGATCGATTCTGAGCCATGTCACCAAGAGCCTTCAACCATTGGTTATGATAGTCACGCGGACCTCAACTAAGTAGTCTGCATCTACCAATATGGCTCAGACCAGAAGTTAGTGACTTCAAGCACTAATGCCACGTTTTGGTTGTCCATATTGCATTGATGCTTTTAGAACTATATACTTAAAGTTTTATTGGTTTACTATTATCATATACTAGTTTGGACCGATGCAGTTATGTGCCAAGTTCTTCATTGGTTATGATCGATTGATTGACTGAACCAAGTGTGTATTGTTTAGTTCTTAATACCGACTCAAATTATTAGTAATTATGAGTACATCCTGGGTTCGAATGCCGCGATCGGAATTGCGGATGCGCACTGCCACAGAGGAGTCCTACAATAAGACGGAACGGCCATCTAGTACTTCCAGGTCTGCAATAGTGGTCTAACATCAATCAGTTCATGATCTCAATCAAAATTCTTATTGTTTCTTTTATAATCTGCCATTTAGAATACAGGTTTCATAAAGCCTATATATTATTACATTTCTCCAACACAAAGTATATTAAATCATTTATTGTTTTAGAGGTCAACGATATTGTGTAGATGCAACAGAAGAGACATCACGACTTGGTCGACTGATTAATCATAGTAGATTAAAACCGAATTGTATTGTTAAAGTAATTCCAATTGATGGTATTCCTCGACTTGCACTATTTGCACGTAAATCAATTTCTCCTGGTAAGTTGTTGTTTTCATCGGTTCATGGATTTAATGTAATTTAACATTCTATACAACTTCATGGAGATAATGCTGATGAATTGCCTTATCCTAATTGTTAAACTCATCTTTTAGGTTTACAATGTAAATATTGGACAACTTGATTTGATATCATAATGCAATTTCTTTAAGGGTTTATTGATTTGATTGTAATAATTAAGAGGATTGAAATCCAGGTTGTTAAGTTAGTTAGTTGGTTGCTATCCCAAAGAATCAAACCTACATCATACAGTTGGATAACATTTCTACCGTGTTATTCAAATCATGACTGATCTACCGTAGGAATGTCTAGTCTCTTGTGATGGTCGAATTCTGTCGATCTCAGATCGCAGGTCTGAACCTTCCCATTTATATATCGCTTTATTGGTAAGGCACTACCATTGAAAAACATCAAAATCTCAGTAGTGACCAATGTCGTTTCCACTTAAGTCCTGATCGAATTCTATCGATCCATTGTGTCCACTAGCTTAAGTTACTTGACGTCAGCTGTAACGTCGGCTATCGGAAATCTTGGATATAGGTTTCTTGCTATTTGGAACTAGTTAGCAAGGTATGTCTGTAATCAGCCCCCGAATTCCCTTGTACGGCCGGGGATAGAGAGGACCAGCTCTTCCTCTCGAAATGCTCACACATGACCACGCATATACAGCCACTGACAGGGAAGTCCTACTCACTGCTTTCTCGCGGCGGGCTTGTTCTTTGCGAAATTAAGAGGAAGGAAAGTGGTTGTCTGGCGCTTTAACCGGTTTGGTGGATATAGAGGACTTACTTAGGTGAGTTGGAAAACCCTAATTCCAAACCAATAATGCATATGGGCTCCAGGATTCTGAGGCAACAAATGACGTATGAATCTATTATTGATCACCGGCTATCATGGTGTTGCATCTCCTTACGTTGCTCCACTGCCTTATGAATCAGACCTTTGGGTCGAAGGCTCGGTGGTGTGGCCCCCTAAGAAAGTCACCTGCTTCAGTCTGGGCACCCGGGCAGTATCACAGCCCACAAACAAATCAGGTGACTTGTATGGTGCATATGTATTTGCTGCTCCTATGTACCAATATTTATGTGTTCAAATAAATAATCTGGAGGGAACTACTACTCTTTGGTGATATCGGTCTCGTGTCATCTGGTTTCACAATCAGAGACATTACTGCTTAACTATTTGGGCCGCAACTGACAAAAATTCAAGCACATATCGACTACTTCTGACCACTTTAAACTTGTCAACAGTCAATTAACAGTTATATATAATGCTAAGTTCTATTGATAGTGTACTCATAATTGATATTTTAATTATTCACTACACAATCTTGTATGATGAGCGTAGAATAAATCGGACTGTAGACCTTAACAAGATCATATGTTAATTACCATTGACTCGGTTAAAATGTGATCAAATTTATATATACATGATGAAACCTCAAGGTAAATAGTCGTGGTTTTATTCTAGTACATGAAACCTGTACTTTCATACACATAGTTCCCTTTATTATCTTAAAGAGAGCAAGAACGAAGATTGGTGCAGTTATTTCACCTAATATTTCGTAATGGTGTCAGGTGGTCTTTGGATAACAGCTTAGACTGCGGTGTGGATGAGACGAAATATTGGTTTGCCATACCGACTAGTTTAACTTTAAACTAGCCTTCCTTCTCTTCACTAACTGGATTCGAATCTGTAATTTGATCAATTAAATTCTCAAATTGAGTTTCTGTGTCGATTCTGTCGGCATGTATTTTGAGGATATGAAATTTAAATACAAGCGACAAAGCTTTTGTTTCTACGTGTTTTAGCTTCACTGTTGATAGATTATAAAGAGAGTTTTCGATGTTTTCCGGAAAACCAAACCATAAGTGTTCCTTTGACATCATCAGAGTCTTTGACAAAGTTATGTGGAAATTGTTGCATATTTTGCTTTGCAGACCTTGGATAAAGTTGATAAATTTTATGCAACATATGATACTTAGGTCGTTAACTAATTCATCAAAGGCATTAGTTTCTGCTCTCAAACGTTCAACCAGTAACGTTTTTGATTCTATGTGAGATTATTAAGAGAAGGCAGAAGTTTTTAATCAGTGACGTGGGAAACGGCATGTTTTAAGACATTCATCAAGTCATTTCTCTCGATATTCTACAGTGTATTGTCACCAGGCGATTTAGTGACTTGAATGACTGTGCAGGGAAACGCATTTTGAGAAATTTCATACACATAGTTACACCAATTTTCATTCTTGCTCTCTTTAAAACCTATACTTAATAACTGAATTACATGATAAGTTTCTCGTTTGATGTATCAATCTACATTGGTTCAATGATGAACAATTGTTATTCAAAGATGTATAGTGGCTAGCAGTGGAATCCAGCACGCACGTTTCGTCCTATTTCGAACTCGTCAGTTGGGGATATACCTACATCCCAGAGTTGATGTTCACTCCGGGACTCGAACCCAGTACTGATCAATTGCAATTCTAAATAACAAATGGGAAGATACAAGTAAAACAACATCATCCTTGTTATTGTTTATTTTGTATTACATTTTTTTAAAAATTTATTGTCTAGGTGAAGAACTACTCTATGATTATGGTGATCGTGATAAAGAAACTTTACAACTTCATCCATGGTTGAAAACATAAACAATTCACCCCCCGTTTTTTCCCTTATTGATCAAAAATATGTCGGTAAATTCGATGATAATTCGATGGTAACTCATTTGTTACTACCGTTGTTGTTGTTGTGGTTAAAAAGTAATTTAGACATTTTTTAAAAAATTATTTCTTCTATTGGATTTTCTCCTTAAGAGATGATTATGTTCTGTTTGTATTTTGTGTTTTCCTCATTGTTACTATTCATGATACCCTTTTTCTAGAAGATTATTGAATACATTTAGTCATAGACGTGTGTAGTCTCATAAAATCGGGTATCTCTCTCACTATCTTCGTTCGCTTTTTCTTATTCTAAGGTGTGGCAACTTGGACTGATGTATGTATGTGCCGTGGCCTTACGTTGTAACTGACTGACTGACTGTTTCTTCTTCATAGTTTCTTTCAGTTTTGTCCGTTTTTTCCTTGGATTCTTTTGTTTGCAGACAAACTATAAAAAAAAACACAGACAGATTAGAGATGTCATTACTTTGTCTATTTTTTTACATGGGTGTATATATTTATGTGTGTGTGTGTTTGTCTGTATCCAATTCAATTCTGCCGTGTTTTTCTTTCAGCTTCCTCATATTTTACTCTTTCCATTTGTATGCATTTATATATATATATATACTTGTCTACTTATTTCATTATTATTAGTAGTATTCTAATTAATGTCAATGTTATGTAGGTATTAGTAACTTTGTATTCATAATAATTACATCTCTGTATGTATATGTAACGATTTGTTTGTTTCTATTTTACTGTACTATATGTTCGATACTCCAGATACAACAATATTAGAAAGAATGTATTCAAACTTGTTATCTTTCATATGGAAAAGAAACACGTAACTTACAACCGACTATATCAGACTAATATTCAATCACTACTTCCATATAATACAAAGATACCATGAAATATTTTATGAGAATAAACCACCAGGTTAACATTTTGTTAGCGAGTTAGTTTTCTACGGGATGAAGTCGCTAACCTCATGCCCAACTATTCTCATTTACCCGGGTTTGGAACCGGCAGTAATTCTAGAAGAGCTACAGGTGGAGTTAAGAAACTACCAGAGTAGAATAATTCAAGCATATAGCATTTCTATATAAATATATATATTTAAATACATTAGAACTATGATAAGATATAGGATACCCTGACAAAGTAAATATGTAATATTTTCTTGAAGAAAACAATACACAAACATGAGATGAATTTTTTATTAAACAAAGAATGATTACTTCAGTGAAAAGTTCTCTTTCCCGAGGAAACATGTACATAGGAAGGAGCAATCGTGATTTGCAATGAAGGGTGGCTGAACATATACCAAAATGGTTGCAGAAACACATGAATTGCAATGGTCAAATAAGATCACATGATAGACTGACATCAACTTCCATTGCGAAAGGTATGATTGAGACTAGTCATAAGTTTGACATCAAGTCAACATTTGTAGTGTTATACAAAAGCGTTCAAGGACGTATACTAAGGTTTATTGAAGCCTTGGTTATACGGAAACTGAATACATTTTTCAAAACCATGTATAGTGGTCTTCAGTGCTGTTAGAGGTATGAGGGCGGTTATCACTTCCCGGTTGCCCACACCGTGGAAGGGTTCTTCTAGAGGTACCTGAAAAGGAAATTGGATTAGAGGTGGTCATAGTGACCTGAGAGCGTGACCTCAGTGCCCAAGGGACAGCTGCTTGTGGTCGGTCACACACGACCTTTTTGTGGGTAATTTCCGTGTTAGCTCCGTACTTGTTGGGAGCTTACCTCTGGAGACGGATATTCCGTGGGATAAGGCGATGTGTGCATTTTTAGGGTCGACCTTTTCTAACCCCACACTGCTTGTGGGAAGGCAGCATTGCTGTCATGCTGGTTGTCTGAAGGAAACACTTTACTGCTGTCACACTTCTGTACAGTCAGCAGTACGACTTTGCCTTGGATTTGTTACTCTTAGTCTTACCGTTCTTCAACCGACCTGTCTGGCATGGTAGGACCTTGAGGAACGGTTGTTCCAGCCAGTATAGCTCAGTTGCTTCATCACGTCAAGGTGGCAACAACAGTCGGTGAAATTTGGTGGGTGTGAAGTAGAATAAATAAAGGCATTAAAACGTTATTTTTATCAGGTAAACTAATAATATTTTTATTAATAAGAGCTTATATGCGCATCAACAAGATTGATAGGGAAATTATCATTAGAAAAGGAAGACTTAGAATGTTAAAATTGAGATTAACTGTTATCAGGAGGATCATAGAAGCAGAAGAAAACTCAAGCATTTCTTTGAAGATTGAAGTTATAATCGGCCAAGGGGTGTACACACACAATAGATTTTACTGCTTGTTGTCTATTGCCTGATTATTTTTAACATCATTCTAGCTCAGCAGTACAGTGTAGTATTGTTTTGATGGCAGTTCTAGTTCCCGTTACTGAAATTATAGGAATCTCACTGATATTTCAGTTTTTCTTAATACATTTTAAGTTGTGTCATTTTTTATGTCCACTAGTATAACGTGAAGCAGTAGATCAGCAGTTAAATCACGAAGTGGAAGGTTTGAATCTAGATTCACATACTATGGTTCTGAAAACTAGATAGTGTCACCAGTCCACACATATAGAGCGTGGCTAAGAGGTAAGTACGTGAATGTGAACCTCGTAAACGGAACGTGGATGTTTTTCGGCTCAGTGTTTCAATGAAATATTCGTTAAGAATCGAGAAATGCCTGGAAATCAGCTAGCGATTTTATTGACGAATCGGATTCAATCGCATGGAACCTGACTCTTACATACAACAGTTCAAATTGTCATACTATATTAGGACAGAAGGATAAAATTATCTAAGCAAATGTTAGAGATTCACAGATAAAAGGAGTATCAGTTCAACATCCATCGGCAATAGCCTTCTGTTGGCGAGAAAAAACCAGCTGAAGAGAAAATTAGGGAAAGACGATGGAAATGGGTAGGACATACATTACGCAAATCATCAAACTGCATCACGAGACAAGCCATAACTTGGAATCGTGAGGGTAAGCGGAAAAGTGGAATGCCAAAGAACACATATTGTCGAGAAATAAAAGCAGATATGAAAAGAATGAATAAGAGCTGTAAAGGATTGCCCAGGACAAGGTTGGATGGAGTGCTAGTGGGTAGCCTATGCTCCTTCGCGAGGAATAACAGGCGTAAGTAAGTAAGGAGTATCAGCAGTAATACAAAACTTTAGGTCAAGAATAAAAAATGAATTTTGGGAATAAAAGTTTGAGGTTATCTTCCAACTCTAAGCTTAAGGGAAGACAAAGAATGAGTGCATCTACCCTACTGCGAACAATTTGAACCGTCTTATCCAACGCATATATATTTTATATAATTCTCAGTCGTAAGTCAACAATAATTATCAGAAGGGTTGTTTTGTGGATATTACAATAATTTAATAGTTGAGTTTATGAGTCATTTGAAGCTAGACCACCATGAGAAACCTGGAAGCACTGAATGGCCGTCTCGTCCTACTATGGGATTCCTCAGTAGTGCTCAACCACGATCCCACCCCGCGGAATCCGAACCTATGACCTGTCAGTCTCTCACATGAACGCTTAACCTCTAGACCACGGAGCCGGTATCCAATGGTGTTGATGTATAACTTCAACCAATCCACGAATTTGAGCCACCGTACACCATTGTCTTCAGTGATTTACTATCTCACAACAGAGCCGGTTGAACTCCACTGGTCACTTCTTCGCATTATAACTTCAGGAAATACCTCTTGAAGCCAATCACTGATGAACATATGATGAATATTATCAGAAAGCGGTTTTGTGGTTACTTTTAGGAATTTAATAGTTGAGTTCATGAGTCAATTGACTAGAGAAAACCAGGCTGGTTTTCGACCTGGATGTGGTTGTGTAGACCAGATATTCACACTGCATCAGATCCTAGAACATAGACACACATTCAGACGCCCCACAACCTTAGTATTTCTCGACCTTAAGTTGACATTTGACTCTGTTGATCGTGAGGTTCTATGGCAGTGTTTGTCACTGAAAGGAGTACCAAAGAAGTACATTAACCTTATAAAAACTCTCTACTCGAACACAACTGGTCGAGTGAGAGCTTATGGCGAACTGTTCTCAGAATTGATTATCTCAAATGGTGTTCGTTAGGGCTGTCCACTCTCTCCGTTCTTGTTTAAGTTTATTGTAGGCGTGCTTCTAGAGATGGCACTTTCTTAATCTAAATTTCTAGGGGTTGGACTTCTACCGAAAGATTCACTTGTTGACTTAGAATATGCTGATGACATAGTTCTATTTGGTGAAGACACCGATAAAATGCAGTTTTCTGACCATTCTAAGCAACAATGCAAGGGATTGAAGTATTTGAACGTCTCGTCCACTTTACATATTTTGGGAGTCCTATCAGCCCTTGTGGTCTGGTGTGTGACGAAATCTCAGCATGGATACGAAGGGCTCGACTTGCTTTTACCAACATGCGTCATTTATGGCGTAGGCAAGATATCCGTCTATCAACCAAAGGACGAGTTTACTGTGCAGCAGTTCATTCCGTCTTACTTTATGGCAGTGAAACATAGCCGGCAAGACTAGGGGATATTCGTGGGTTATTAGTATTTGATCATATGTGTCTTCGAAGCATTGCTCGTATATCCTGGGACCACCGAGTAAGTAACGGGTACCAGGTAAGGATGGAAAATCAATTGATGAAGTAGTAAAAATTAATCAGTTAAGATGGCTGGGACATGTCCTACGTATGCCCAACCACTGACTGCCCTGATGTGCAATGTTTTATGATGTACGAATAGGTTGTAAGAAAGTTAGGTACAGTCAGAACGAAACATGGCACAAATCCATGAAGTCACTGAAAAGTGAACTGAACCATGTTTGTAGATGTACACTATCTGACTGGGATCTGCAAGACTATAACAACCGATGGTTAGGGATCTTGAATGACATGGCTTAAAATCGTTTAGAATGGCGCAGATGCATCCACTCTTTGTGTTCTCCCAAATTCTAATCTTCTGTATTCTTTGTCTCTTTTTACTCGTTTCAAATTTATTTCACTAAATTCTATTCCTTTGAATAACATCTTCAAAACCTAATCTTTCCAATTATTGCTGATACTCTTACCACTTCTACAGTGGTCTTGAGTGCTGTTAGAGGTATGAGGGCGGTTATCACTTCCCAGTTGCCCACACCGTGGAAGAACCCACTACTACTTCTACCACTATGGGATTTGAATCGATAATTGTATCTCTGTGCTAATGCTGTATGGAAACTCGAACAGATGTACGTACATATGACTGACTAATTCAAATAATTGTGTATATATTACTCTACTATTTATAGATCGTATTGTTTATTTATTTGTTCAACGACTTAAATTCCCAAAAACAGAACCATTCATGTACTTGTTATGATATATTATATCCAATAAGATATACTTGAACAAGAATAATTGTCAACTCGTTCAATATTTTTGTAGAATCATATATATTACTTAAAAGTATCAATAGTAGTAAGTATATATATATGTCATATATTTAAAAATTTTATGTATTATATTATTAAATCTATTGTTTTTGACCATCATTCTGAGCAAGTAATCGATATAAATGTTCATCACTTAAACATCCCTGAATAAATTCTTCTTTAGTTAATACACTATCTGAATTAATATCCATTTTAGTAAAAATTGTTCTTGTACGTTCTGCTGGTGTTTTACTATTCTCTTCATCAATATCACCAACCATTAAATGAATAGCCTGAAAAAAAAAATTTTTTTTTGGTTAAGAAATGAAAATGAGAATGTTAAAAAATTAAATTGATAAATTCGAGATAAAATAATGATGTTTTCTATTGATGAATCTTCTCTTTGTAGAGCATCTAGGATTACTGGCGGTCTCAAGTTTAGATGAGGTAAGAGGATTGAGTATAGGATTAGTAACTCCCAAACCTTGTAAAAAAAAAAAAAAATCTCGTTTTTAAAAAAGTTGTCCAGAGATAAGTGATCAAACACACTAATAAGTTGAGTACGGCAAATTTCAGTTATCCAAGATGTATGGTACCTAAAAACTGAACTGTTTATCAGATAGAACTGTTGAGCTAGCTATTCTGAGTAATGAACTATTCACCTAGCCAACATTACTGTTCATATCTCTATGTCTGATCCAATACCGGTATCCATCTATATACAAAACTACGCTTCTTCGCTTGTTTCGATGTTTTTTTTTCTTTTTCCATCCTTTAGTTCAGTTAGGCGTTTGAAGCATACTTATTCACTGAAGTGTACCGCAGTCCATAACATCTAAGACAATCAGAATCTGAAAAGTATTTTGGTTGATTTACTTAATTAACATCACAGTACCTATGTATTAGTCTTATATACTATTTGATTGGGCATCTATTGATTAAAGGATCTTCCTACATTATCTGTCTTCTTTCATTAATTTTATACTGGTCAGTGCATTGAATTTGTACATAAGTAGGTTACATAGTGGATCAAATCACTTGAATCAGTGTAATTAACAAAGATAATGTTGGATTTCTGAAGAAATTACAACTCCCCCTCCCCGTTTATATATACTGCAAAGAAAATCTATATATACATAGAATAAATAAACGAAATGAAATTTTCAAAAGAAAAGAACATTCTTTTACAATAGTGAATAATATGTGTGAACATTTGGTAGCATCATCGATGAACACAGTGGATCTAATGAAGATGTGAAGAAGAGGATCAGTAAAGCAAGAACAATATATCTACAATTGAAGAACATCTGGAATTCAAAACAACTGTCTGTCAATCAACATCAAGGTCAGAATTTTCAATATAAATGTCAAGACAGTTCTACTGTATGAGGTGGAAACGTGGAGAACTACAAAAGCCATCATTCCATAAGAAAAAAGTGCTTATTAACAGTTGTCTGCACAAAATACCTCGGATCCATTGGCCAGACACTATTAGCAACAACCTACTATGGGAGAGAACAAACCAGATTCCAGAGGAGGAAGAAATCAGGAAGATTCACTGGAGGTGATTAGGACAAACATTGAGGAAAGCACTCAACTGCATTACAAGGCAAGCTCTCACTTGAAATCCCCAAGGTCAAAGGAAAAGAGGAAGATCAAAGGACAGATTACACTAAGAAGTGGAGACAGGCATGAGAAGAATGAACAACAGTTGGATGAAACTAGAAAGGCAGTCCCACGACAGATTGGGTTGGAGAATAATGGACGTCGGCCTATGTTCCATTGGGAGTAACAGGCGTAGGTAAGTAAGTATGCGTGCACATTCAAAGTTACAAGCTTTTAATTTGGTCAAGTTTTACAAATGTTTTGTAAAATGGCTTTTGTGTGCATAAATTTTAGTGAACCTGATTCTTCGATCAATAACTGTCTCACATCCGACACGGTTGTACTTCACTGGTCGCGGATTTTTACTAGAACTCGAAGCTAATCACTAATGAATACATAATAATGATCAGTATAGGCTTGTATAGATTGTTGTTATTTGAACACATAAATATTAGTGCAAAGGGGAACTGAATACATATGCGTCACACAAGTCACTTGATTTATGTGTGTGTGGTCTGTGATACTATCAGGTTGCACAGACTGAAGCAGGTTCGATTGTTGAATTTAAATTGAGATCATGAATTGTTCCATGTTAGATCACCATTGAAAAACTAGGAGTACTAGGAAGCCGTTTCATTTTAGTATGAGACTAATTACTGCCAAAATAAGATATGATCATTTATCCTTTGCTTAACTATTCATTCCACTTGACACTTTTATTCAAATAATTAAACTTAATTCTAATTCACTTGATATTATTTTACTTGAATCTTCCCAGGTGGCTATCAGGACTCAGTAGCTAAGTGGATAACGTGATGGCGTTTGAAGCGAACGGTACTGGGTTCGAGTGGTCGCAGAGTGAACATCAACACTGAGATGCAGGTACATCAAGCTGACGAGTCCCAAATAGAACGAAACGCGTGTCCTGGATTCCACTGCTAGCCACTATCCATCTTCTCTTATAAACTTAATTCTGTTCGTTTCTTTCACTATTAAAAGAAAAAAACTACTTAAATAATCAAATTTCAAATCGCTTCCTTCACATTACGAATTATACAGTTTGTTTTGTTTGTTGGGCGTTTTTTTTTTTGTGTTTTGTATCCAATTACATGCACATAAAATAGGCACAGTGATTAAAAATGACATTATATTGACGTAATCAGATCAATTTTGACTTTGATTTTCCTTTTTTTTGTGTTTTTTCTTTCAATTATACTATTTGAACTTGTGGTAATTAGGTTTGGTTATTTGTTTATTTGTTACTATGATAATAGTTTAAGTTACATCATAAAATGTCAGAAATTCAATTTGCCACTCATAGGGATATCAAGATATATATATATGATTAGTTTATTATTAAGAATTTGGGTTAGTTTCTATCTTAGATATTGAGATTTTATCAGTATAGGGGTTTTGGAGATTATGAAGTTTTTGGTTAAGATCATGAATCGATTGATGTTAAACCACCATTGAAACCCTGGAAGCACTGGATGGCCATTTCGATCCTCCTGGGTTCGAATCCCGCTAGCGGGATCGTGAATACGCACTGCCATGTAGAAGTCTCACAAAAGGACAATGATGGACATCCAGTACTTCTAGATCTTCAATTGAGATTTTAGCTGAATAGATGTATGTCAAAGTCTATTACATCAATTTGTTTGGTTGTCAGGGTGGAATTATTGAAACTTTATTCAATCAAGTAAAATAATGGAATAACAAATGATAAAACTATCTTGACTGCTTATTGAAATATTTGGGTTACTTGTTTCTATCATCTACATATTTTAAAAAGATTTCCTGTTTTCTTGTTTGTTTTAACAAATCATGACTCCAAATGCCCTGGTATGGCCGAGAGTGTGGTGGGTTCTCCCTCCCTCTAGAAATACTCTCACATGGCCACGCGTATGCAGCCTCTGCCAGGGAAGTCCTACTCACTGCCTTCACGTGGCGGGGGTGTTGTTTACGAAAATGAGAGGACGGAAAGCGAATGTCCGGCGCTCCAACCGGATCCCAAATCAATGGTGCACATGGGCTCCAGTATCCTGAAGGAACAAATGGCATATGAAACAATCTTTGGTCACCGGCTACCATGGGACTGCATCTTCTCACGATGCTCCACTGCCTTGCGGATCAGACCTTCAGGTCGAAGGCTCCGAGTGTGGTCCCCTAAGAAAACCATCTGCTTCAGTTTGGGCACCCGGATAGTATCACAGCCCACACACAAATAAAATGAAAATTTGTGTGGTGCATTTATATTTGGTGCTCTCTTGTACCAATATTTATGTGTTCAAATAAATAAATAAATAATAAATTTAACACATCATTATGCCTATTAGTCGGATAACCTATTCAGATAGGTTTATGAAAAGTTTACAATCTTTCACTGTACAAGTTAAAAAAGAAACAGCCCAATCAGAGACATCATAGTCACTAGCATTATGTATTGAAGTGAATCAATATTATCCCGTTATTGATTCCTGAACTGTTAACATCTAACTGATAATCACTTCATATTTATCGTCAATATCGATCAGGAAATAAGAAGAGAAAATTTGTTGTTGTGCTAAGTATTCTATATTGTACCAAAAATAGTATAGAATGCATAAAGCCAATAATAATAATAATACTATTTTAATAATGAATATAACACAAACTACTCATTGGATTAAAGTTATTTAATTCTTAGGGATAGTTAAGATAATGAGTGAATTGAAGCTATACCTCCATGAAAAACCTGAAACTATTGGATGGCCGTTTCGTCCTATTGTTAGACTCTTCAGCAGTGCACTTTGACAACTTAATAATAATCATAAGTAATATTGTAGTGAACAAGAACACGAGTAGGGACAATAGAATGTACTTAACACGAAATTAAAGAGCATCTTAATAAAATCTGAGAACCATATATTAAATCGTTAATTTGCAAAATATTAAACCATAATATCAAACTTGACTGTTTCTGTTGCAAACATCAATTCATGCATTTTCCTACCAATTGTGCTTCGTTTCCGTTCTTTCCTCATCGACCTACTGAAATGCATTCTATGCCTGACCACCATCATATACTACTTGTGTGGATATAAGTAACCCACACCACACTCGTCCCCCCCCTTTAAAGCTAGCCGTGCAACATTCTTCTTTTCTGCAGTCTGTGCTACGCCCTCCGCCAAATTATCGAGTCTGCGGCGCGCTGACCTCCATAGCTCCGTCGACCTGCTGGGGCACCAACATCCGACATCCACCCGGCACCTGGGACATTTGACACCCGTGCTCCACCGGCCTGCTGAGACATCTACATCCGATGTCCGCCCATCAGCCGCACGTCCCACTGCTCCTCTCCGTCAACGGCACCCAATACAGCCAACGCCGCCACGCCAGAACACTTCACCAGATGCCACCCCTCCGCACCAGACTGCCCCGACCTGCACCTCAGCTCCAGGCCCGCAACGGCGTCTGCAGAACAATACCCTTCCCCTCTCCTGGTTGGCAGCGACACCAAATGTAGTGAACAGCACATCAATGGGGACAATCGAATGTACTTGTGTGGATATAAGTAACCCACAGCACAATATCAGTGAATAGTAGGAAAAGAAAACCACCATTATTCTTATTATCTTGAAATGAATATAAATAAATAAATAAATAATATTCATAACCTACTTTAATAATTTGTGTCATTTCATATTCTTCAATTGTTCCATTTCTATCAATATCATATAATTGAAATGCTAATTCAAGTTTTTCCTCTGGACTACCTGATTGAGTAATACTAATAGCCTGTATTGTTTGTTTTTTTTTGTTGTTGTTGTTGTTTTGTTTGAATAGAAAAACACAAACAAACAAAATGATTTATACTATTGATAAGATAATTAAGTAATAATATAATGAACCTAGATACAATAATATATTCTCATAATGACTATACATGTTTATCATTATAACTATGATTGAGTTGATCTATATAAATCTCTCTCTTGTATTAAAATATATGAATGAATTCTTAATAGATATTCAATCAATAAATAATTCTTGTTTTAACAAAATGGTATCGTAGAAATTGGTTAAATTTGTAAATAGGATTAGATCTCCTGTAGGACTGAGATATTATTCACATTTGATTGATCACTGGGTGATGATTAATATCATGTGTGTGTGTCAAGTGTTTCGCAATGTCGAATCACCTAGACTAGTGGCCATATTGTAACTTGGTCGATAGCATACGATCTTCACTTAGAAGGACTTGACACACATGACATTGATCACCACCTAGTGATCAATCAATTGTGATTAAATCTCAGTTCTACAGGGGGTCAGTCGCGTCTCGGATAGTTCAGTTGTAACGTCTCTGGCTGTGAAACTGGGTGACACGGGATCGAATCTGACAGGGAACACCATTTCCCTCAAGATCACAGATACACATTACTGACGAGTGCCAAAGAGAACGAAACCCACGTCCATGATTTCTTGTTAATTACCTTTAACCACCATTCTACTATGATTTATGGACGTCATTTGACCGACACCAAAGTGACCTTGAGAGTGTCCACCCAATAACTAGAATCAAATGAGGGTCCCTTACTTTAACCGAGTTGATGGACACAGAGGTTCCACCTAGGGGAGTCGAAAAACCCGGATTCCAGACCAATGATGCACATGGGCTCCAGAATCCTGAAGAAATAAATAGAGTATGAACCAATCGTTGGTCACCGGCTACCATGGGATTGCATCTCTTACGATGCTCCACTGCCTTGTGGATCAAACCTTTAGGTCAAAGTCTCGGTGGTGTGGTCCCCTAAGAAAACCACCTGTTTCGGCTTGGGCACTCGGGAAGTATCCTAGCCCTCCAACAAATCAAAGGAGATTTGTGTGGCGCATATATTTCTGGTACCTCCTTGTACCAATATTTATGTGTACAAATAAATAAATAATTTACTAAAAACTTGAATACCCTTCACGAATCCATTTCATAAAACATGATGTTTAGGATAATTGATTGTCTTTTATTTTTATATATGAAGTTACATATTGATTATAATTATTGGTTTTACTGATTTATGTCTATAATAGATGTACTTTAATCATATATAAATCCTTTATATCCCTATATGTATATCATTATGTGCTACCCATATTGAATTTTCTGTTTTCTGTCATTGTACGTTGATAATGAAGTAGTGAACATGATGGCGTCCAACTAATTTTGAACATGTTATTATGTTTGTATTTCTAGTGAAATGTCAACACTATAAAATCAATACAACTACATTCATATTTGGATGGGGGTAATTTATACCATGTATAGAATTAATAACTAGGATTTCTACTCAAAATAAAATTTACTTTCTTAATCACTTTATAAAACTCCGCCTGTAGCTCTTCCAGAGTTACTGCCTGTCCCAAGCCCGGGTAAAGGAGGAGGGTTGGGCATGGGGCTAGCGTCCCCATCCTGTAGAAACCTAACTCGCTAAAAAAAAACGCTAACCAGAATCACTTTATAACGTTAAATTATACAAAGTCATTAAATATTTCCTAGATGATTTATAGGTGAGATTATAATTTATGGATGACCTTTGAGTGACACTAAATTGATCTTGAAAGTGTTCACCTAGTAACTAGGACTAAATGAGAGTTATAAACCTGTGTGAGGAATTAGAATTATGATTTACAATTGATGATTAGAGTTAGGTATTAGATTTGGGCGGATTTCATCATGAACTGACATTAGCTATAATGTCAAAATTCTATGGATGAGTGAATTTCGCGCCAAAATCCAGGATCTGTTATCTTATACCTGTTTGGTTCGTTCATAAATTATAGTTTTGCTGATTTATGATATAAATTTGAACAGGTAACTTGACAGCAACAGAGTGAAACTCAAACGTTGACCTTCTAGAACGATATAGATATCTTCTTAGCTTTCTGGTTATCATTTAATTTGTGGAAGTGTAAATTCTATATTGTTTGATGTGTGAGTGAGAATGATAATGATCGGTTGTCTGCTTAATCAAACATGTAGATAATCTGACAAGTGTCAGATGAGTTATATATTCCCTTATCCTTATTATTATTATTAATCACTTATTATTGATTGTTCGTTGTTGTTGGATTGTGTCGGGTTGTTGGTGTGGAAATATATTTACGTTGTGGTCAGGCTAATCACGTGTTCTTGATCTGAGTTGTGTTGACGTCCTGTCGAATAGTGTTGGAGACGATAGATTCCCAAAACTCATAGTTTGTAATTTTATCTTTTGGAGCTTGTATGCAGATGTACGCGTGGGCATTTTTTACCACCCACGCACATAGTCGATTGACGAACTTATCGATTAAAAGTTTAAAAGCTCCATGGCATTATCGATATATGTATTTGTATAAATACGCTTGATTTGTGTGAGTGATTGACCTGGTATCTACTGGTTGCCTGTAGAATACACTTTCTACGTCTCACTGAGACTTCTTGATCGAGTTAGCCGAGTCTCAGGGACAACGGACAGAATAGCCTATCGAGATCTTGAATCCCCTGATCTGATCGATAAGTCACTGCCCTCTAATCGGCGGCGTTTGAGATATAACAAATAGACACTGGGAAGGAAATCTAGTGTAGATATTCGTCTAAGGTGGTAAATTAACGTCCCATATGTGTAAACATGGGAACTCAACCGTTATAACACTGTATTTGTATTCATCAATTAGTTTACACTTGTTGTAAAAGGTTAAATCAATCGCTAAAATCTATAAGCATTATACTATTTGAATATCATGAAAGTAATGGAAATTGATGAATTAGATTGATTGTTGAATATTTCATTGATTTCAGTCACATAGTTGTATATAAGTGATCTTTTATAGAAATTTCCGTCAAGTTGAATAAAGCAATTGACTAGAAACGTTTATACGATAAATTTAAAGTTGGATTCTACACTGAAATTAAGACATTCTTAATCCTTTATTCTTTTATGGTTCTAATCTCACTATATAGATGGTATTACTTTTGTTCACTCTAGCAATGTCATCTGTAAATAAATTCAATATGTTATTCTTTGTTACTTTTAAGTAGTTATTAAATATCTGAGGACGGTTCACAAGTAAACTGGAGGAAACTGTAAGAAGCTTAAAAAGAGCTGAACATATTCCATCCAATCATTGTTTGGAAGAATATTCTAGAATCTCTACGTATAGCTTCCCGATTGGACAATGCTAATAACCCCATGTATGTGGATTAGATAACTATAATGATGATTTCATTTTTATATAGTGAAAATTCTCATTTTAAAATGTGGTCAATAAAGAAGGAACACTTGACAGTTTTGTACTATAATTGAAACTGTCTGGAATAATATTCCTTTCATTTGTATTCTGTTTTCTCATTTGCAACTTGGAAGGATTCTAGTGTTCAAGTGCCTAAGATATACATGTCATCTCAGAATATAATCTCTAGATATAACAAAATAACTCCTTTAGTGAGTTAATATACATTGGAATCTTAATATGAGTACAGAAAGTTTTCTTAGCTTTTACTAATTCCTGTTACTTTTAGTACAAACTAGTTGTATGAATACCAGCTAAGGGGGCTGTGTGGATAAATTATCGGGAAGACTATTGAAACTATTAATTGTACTCATTTAGTAACATACCATAGAATCTTCTTTACAATCACTGATATTACTATTTGTTATATCTTAGCGAAGAATCAATTACGAGTAACTTCTGAGATCTTTTAATGGATTATTACTATCCATATATTCCTGTTGTATAACTGTTCAGTAATCAGATTATGTATTCATTTGGTATTGTTTTGCTTATATCTTCACATTGAGGTTTATGACTGCAATTGCTCAGTCTGTTATTGGTATATGTGCATACTGTGCGTATGCCTTGATATTGCCTTAATTCACAAGCTTTTTATAGTAAGCAATGATGGATAGTGACTAGCAGCGGAATCTAGGACGTGTGTTTCACCCTATTTGAGACTCGTCAGCTGAATTTACCTGCATCTCAGAATTGATGATCACTCCAGGACTCGAACCCAGTACTGATCTCTTCAAACGCCATCATGTTATCCACTCAACTACCGAGTCCTGATAGCCACTTGCTTGTGCAATGGGGTGAATTGATATTCACTTAGTATTGTTTTACTTGTATCTTCCCAAATAGGACGAAACGCGCATCCTGGATTCCACTACTAGCCACTAGCCATCTTTGCTTATAACAGATTATGTATATTTATATTTCTCTTATTATAAGCTTCATTTTGACCTATAGACCATTTTGATGATACGATTTACTATTCTTAAGTTATTCACAGTTTAGTAATTACAGTCTCCCACATTCATAGCCATTTTCTGTCTTGATCTTGTATAAATGTTATTTCCTATTTTATGGTATGATACGGTCTGTTTGGCTGGTATATAAACCAAGTATGTTTGAAATTAATGATTCAAATAATGGAAACTAATACTGGTGTTCTGAACTTAACTGGACGGGCTAGGCAAGTAAAAAAGCAATAAGGACGCTATGCTTGTCAGACCGGTTGAGCGTCGTTAGTTTGGCATAGCACAAAAGTGAATAAGTTGTATTTCGATTGGTGAATAAATTACAAGATAACTAGCCAGACTTAAAGTCACAACACTATTCTAATATTCATGTTGATCATTTCAACTTACTTCGCTGTTATTTTTTATAACATTTTTAGCCAATATACATGTTTTCTGATTTCTTATATTGTGTTATGACTACTGACTGATTGACTAATCTAATTCACATAGTACATATACAGAGTTTTGTACTCTGAGCTAGATGGTTTGGTCGTGAAACTTTCATCGGTCTTCTAAACGACATCATCAGAACAAACTTCAAGTAGAATTGAAATGTTTGAATTTCATCATATGTGATTCATAGCTTGTCTTGTACATTTCTACCTGAATTTTATACTGATGATATGGTTTAGAAGAATGATAAAAATCTCCATGACAAAACCATCCAGTTTAGAGATAACAAAACATCATCAAAATTATTCACCTAAGTTACAAATCAAAATCCAATATATTGATCTATTTTAAAATCAATTATTATTATTATTATTACATCATGACTTACTGTTAAAAATTCATTGAAATCAATACTTCCACTAGCATCTTGATCAAATGTACGAAATAAATGTTCATAGAATAATCTAGCTTTACCATCTGGAAAAAATTGTGTATACATACTAAGAAATGTTGAGCGATTCAATAGACCTGAAGGACAATCTTTCTGTAAAATAAATTGAAAAAAAAAAAGAAAAAGAAATGATAATTCAATATATAATTAGAGAGAGAGAGCGAGAGAGGGAGAGAAAATGTGTATGAATTTCGAGTTCCGAAAATGAACATCAACTCTGGGATTTAGGTATATCTAGCTGATGAGTCTCGAATTGGATGAAACACATGTCCTGGATTCCATTGCTAACCACTATCTATCAAGTTAAAATAATATCAAGTGAATTTAAACTTCACTCGATTACACGACCAAGTGGTTATAAGGACTTAGTGGCTAAGTAGACAGCGTAATAGCGTTTGAAGTTAACAGTACTGGACTAGAGTCCTGGATTGAACATCAACTCTGGAATTCAGGTACATCTAGCTGATGAGTTCCGAATAGGATGAAACGCGCATCCTGTATTCCACTGCTAGTCATTATCCATCTTTGCTTATAATGCATGTGATTTAAGGCAATATTGAGGAAATCTGTACAGTATGCACATATGTCAATAAGAGACTGATCAATCATAATCCTAAACATCAATGAGAAGGTTCAAGTAAACAATTCCAAGTGAATTTAAAACCATTTAAAGATAATTGTGGAAAAAGTAGACTTATTTCTACTTAATTTGAGAGTTTTCTATCAACTGTATCAAATGAGGGTTATTAACCAATGTGAAGCATTAGAATTATGATTTACAGTTGATGATTAGATTTAGGAATTAGATTTAGGGTTTTCATCACAAGCTGACATCAGCTATAATGCCAAACACTCTATTTAACCAGATGGGTGAGCGAATTTCGCTCTAAAATCCAAGACCTATTATCTTATACCTGATTGGTTCGTCCATAAATTATAGTTTCACCGAATCAACTAATAGATACCTGCTACAAATGGATCACATGGAACTATAGTTAATTTACTGTAGTTTTTAGGGTAGACAAAATACCATTTCAATAGTTGAAATCATGAGTCAATTAAAACTAGACCACCATGGAAAAGCTGGAAGCACTGGACGGCGCTCGGGCGCGAGACTGATAGGTCCTGGGTTCAAATCTCACGGGGGTATCGTGGATGTGCACTGCTGGAGTCCCATACTAGGACGAAACCGTCGTCTAGTGCTCTCAGGTTTTCCATGGTAATCTAGCTTCAATTGACTCATGAATTCAATTAATGAAATTACTAAAATCTCCACAAAACCCCTTCTGGAAATACTATTTGATGGATTTTACACTAAAAATGTACAAATAAATTCATCAATTATACAGTTTCCATATATCTGAAGAGGGTAACTGATTGTCAGTAAGTTAATTAGTTACCAAGCTAAAATGATTACTGATATGTATTTCTCTAGTTTAGTTTATATTACTTACACCTGTTAGCCCTCGAAAAAGAGCATAGGCTGACTATCACCATTCTCCACGCAACTCTATCCTGGACAATTCTTTCCAGTTACTATTCATTTTTTTCATGTCTGCTTCCATTTTTCGACTAAGTATGTTCTTTGGCCTTCCTCTTTTCCATTTCCTTTCAGGATTCCAAGTTAGAGCTTGTCTCATGATGCAGTTTAATAATTTCCTCAATGTATGTCTTATTCACTTTCAACATCTTTTCGTAATTTCCTCTTCAGCTGGAAGTTAGTCTGTTCTCTCTCAAAGTAGACCGTTGCTGATGGTAACCGATCAACGGATATTGAGTAACTTGTGCAGATAATTGTTTATAAATACTTTTACGTTTTTGATGATGGTTGTGGTAGTTCACTAAATGTCAGCACCATACAATAGAACTGTTTGGACCTTTGTATAAAAACATCTGAATTTTCTGTTGGTTGATAGTTGTTTTGAGTTCCATATGTTCGTCAACTGTAAGAATGCGGCCCTTACATTACCAATCTCTGATTTCACAACTATATAAGATCCTCCTTGTTCATCGATGATGCTTCCCAGGTACGTGAACATTTTCACCTCTTCCAGAGCTTCTCCGTAAAGTTTGATTGTTTTGGTGTTCTCTGTGTTGTATTTGAGGATTTTTCTTTTTCCCTTGTGTATGTTGAGGCTTACTGATGCAGAGGTTTCTGATACACTGGCTGTCTTCAGTTGCGTTTGTTGGCGTGTGTAAGACAGAAGATCTAGGTCATCTGCGAAGTTCAAAACATATAGCTGCATCCAAACTGTCCATTGTATTCCGTGCTTCCCCTTAGATTTAAAGGTCTTCATAATCCAGTTGGTTACCAGAAGAAATAGGAAGAACGATGTACTCAATTTTCATAGATATACTTTAGATATGTAATGGATGGCGATGTTACCACGCAGTTTTGACCAAACCCTTGAATTTGAATCACATTTAGAAACTATCAAAGCAACTGGTTACAGTTTAGGTAGAGTTTTGTTCTCTGATCTAGTTGGCTTGGTCATGGAGAGTAAGCAGACTTACCTGACTCCGGTTCTCACTTGGAATGTGTCTGTCAGCTGTCATGCATGCACAACTCTACAGTGTTGTCCGTCGCATGAATTCCCAATGATGTTGACAATTTTCTCAGGCACTCCACAGTATCAAAGAAGGTTCCATAACCTTCTCTTATTCACCCTGTCAAAAGCCTTCTCATAATCAATGAAGTTGATGCATAGTGACAAGTTCCATTCATTTACACAAATCTCCATACTATTAAGAATCATGTTCTCAATATTAACTAGCTTCAAGATGATGGAACTCTGTTAGTTCTAATGAGAAGCCATGACTAGCGTAGCCTAATCCGTGTCGGTTATAAGACTCTTTTTCAAAAGACCGAAGATCCTTAGTTCAAGTCTTGCTTGCAGAATCATCGATTCGTACTGCTAAATAATGCCAAACCATAACGAAACAGTCGTTCATTTCTTCCAAGTTTTAAATAATGGTCTAGCTTAGACCAACTCTTAATCCTTAATTAAATTATTTATTGCATTTGAACGATCTACACTTCGCAGTTGATCTGGCTCTTCTAGCTCAAACGCAACAATAAATGCAGGAGAAGACGACCAATGTAGCAGCAGCCTCAGCAGCAGTAGGTCTCAATATACACAAAGAGAAAAGTAAGATTCTCCGATACAACACAGCATGCACCAATCTAATCACATTTGACAGAGAAGCTTTGGAGCATGTAGAAAACTTTACATATTTGGGCAGCATCACTGATGAACTTGGTGGATCTGATGCAGATGTGAAGGTGAGGATCAGCAAAGCAAGAGCAGCATATTTACAATTGATGAACATCTGCAAATCAAAACAATTGGCAACCAACACCAACGTCAGGATTTTCAATGCAAATGTCAACACAGTTCTACTTTATGGGGCGGAAACCTGGAGAACTACGAAAGCCATCATCCAGAAGATACAGGTGTTTATTAACAGTTGTCCACGTAAAATACTTCGGATCCGTTGACCGGAAACTATCAACAGCAACCTACTATGGGAGAGAACAAATCAGATCCCAGTGGAGGAAGAAATCAGGAAGAAGCGCTGGAAGTGGATAGGACACACATTGAAGAAAACATCGAACTGTGTCACAAGACAAGCCCTCACATGGAATCCTCAAGGTCGAAAGAAAAGAGGAAAACCAAAGAACATATTATGCCAAGAAATGGAGATAGACATGAGGAAAATGAACAAGAATTGGATGTAACTAGAAAAGAAGGTCCAGGACAGAGTGTGTTGGAAAATACTAGTTGGCGGCCTATGCTCCATTGAAAGTAACAGGTGTCAGTAAGTAAATAAGTAAATTATTTATAATATTCACTAAGTACTTCCTATTCAATACTTTTAACTTTTCTTTCGATTCAATAAACATTTCAATTCATGTATCCAAAGTTATTTGGCATTGTCTATTCCTAATAATTCAATGAAGTATAACCTTAGAGATTGAATAAGAATTGAAAAAAAAACAACAACAACACACAGATGGTAATAAAAATCTCTAATGTAAACTATATTTTAATATAGAATATTTAAGTCATAAAATGAATAGGAATGTTACCTGAATTCCCTAGATACAACACATGTAATGAACATTATAAATATTACATTATTACGTCATCTACCTAAACTCTTTATCCCAACTAATATTAGTATATAATGAGAAATTATAAACAAATCAGTGAATGTTTCACTTTGAAAGAACAAAAAAAAAAAACAAAACAAAACAAAAAAGATCGATTAATTGTAACATAATAAAATGTTTAGATAATTACTAATGTAAAGCAATTAATTCCATTTATAAATAGATAGATAGATAGATAGATAGATAGATAGATAGATAGATAGATAGATAGATAGATAGATAGATAGATAGATAGATAGATAGATAGATAGATAGATAGAAAGATAGCGCAACCGTAGCTGCTACCTTGACGTGGTGGTCGAGCTTGCCTATCGTGATGACCCAACCGAGCTATATTGGCTGGAACATATGTCCCTGTAGGTTCTACCATGCTAGACAGATCGGTTGAAGAACGGTATGACTAAAAGCAGCAACTCAAGGTCTAAGGGCGAAGTCGTACTGCTGACTGTACAGAGGTGTGACAGTAATAAGGGGTTTCCCTCGGACAACCAGAATCTGTAACGATGCTGCCTTTTCACAAGAAAGGAAGGGGTTAAAAAAGATTGACCCTAAAAATGTCACACCTCACCTTATCCCATGGATTTCCTTCTACAGCGGTAAGGCCCTATGAAGTACGGAGATAACACATCAAAAACCTCCCACAAAAAGGTCGTGCGCGACCGGCCTCATGCAGTTATCACTTGGGCTCTGCGGTCACGCTCCCAAGTCGTTAAGACCAACACTAATCCGATTTCTTTTTCAGGTTCTTTAAGGAATACTCTTCCACGGTGTGGGCAGCCGGGAAGTGACATCAGCTCTCATACCCGTAACAGCACACGAGACTGAGTTGATCACATTCAAATCCTTCCTACACCTTCTAATAATTCTCTTATCTCCATGACTAACCCTTCTCACGTCAAGTTTCAGATCATTGATTGAC